AAACAAGTGGCCTGGAAGAGTTGTTAAAATATGTTAGTGTGGGGTGGTTGTTGTTTTTCTGCAATTTAAACCCTGGTTTGAGCCATGCTGTGAATCCCCCTGCTACCAAAATATCCAGACTTCTTCCCCGCTCCCTGTCCTGCTTTATTAGCTTTGGGTCGGCAATTGCTTGAATACATGACCTAGATTTTATGGAAAACCTGAGTAGAATGAACTGCATTGATTCCTGGAGAAAACAGCTAATATGGACTGGAGGGATTGGAGGTGCTCAGCTGACAGGAGGCTCATGACTGGAGAATGCCGTCTCAGGACCAGTGATGATGAGTGGCCCTTGCCAGTCTAGGATCCCTGCGCTTGCAAGATGAATGGATTGCCTCCTGGGGTCATTTATTTATTTAGGCATGAGCACCTGCTCATTTTTATATGACAAAAGTGAAATAATTAGAGTTTTACTTCCAGTGTGATGTAGTGGTTAGTGTGCTGGACTAGGATACTGGTGGTAGGTGCAAGAAAACAACAGCAACAGCGGCAGCAGTAAGCAAATTAAACTACTACTGTACTGCTTTAGTAGTAGTAGTTTACCATACTTAAAAAAGATATTTTAGTATTTCAATTACTGCTATTGCTACTAATCCTATTTAATAGCTGTTGTACAGAGTTGCACCTCATCACTGGATGAGCCATCGCTGTGTGGTGCATTTTTGTGTGGGTGTTCTACTGCTCCACCCTAGAGCTGGCTGCAGGTTTTGCTCTGGGCAAAAAAAGATTTGGCCTTTAGTCATTTCTGGACTGTGTCATTTCCGATGCAGCTCTGGGACTTTGAGCAGGAGGCTGCCTGCCCCTCGTTCTTCAGGCTCTGAGATGTAAACCTTGCTTTGGCCTTCATGATCTTGTTAATTAAGGCGCATAAACTCTTTCTAAGAAGTTGTAAAAGCCAAAGCCTGGCCTGCTATCCAGTTGCAACAGTACATCACGAAACTCATATAAATGACTCAGAGTACCCAGGGAATACCATTTTGGATTGCGCCAGGTGTGGTGTTGTGCTGATGTAAAAGTGTAATGGAGAGCTTTGTTTCTGCAAGTGTCATTTGACATCTAGGGCCTGGTTTCTTTTCCCCCCAGTTCATATTTATTGGTTTTTAACAACAGAAATGCTTTCTTAATGTAAGATCACAGTATAAAGTTTCAGTTTTTTGTTGATGTACATGTGTTTCTAAATCATAATAAAGAAAAACAAATATATATTCTTAATCATTTGACTCATTAATATTCTAATTACTTCTGAATTCCCACCCCTTCTTACTTGGATCCTTTATTGGTAACCAATTTTTCACTACTTTTTGATGTTTCTCATTACAAGAGTTAATCTAAACCAGTCAAAAAAATTAATCCTCCACAGTGGTCTTTCAGGTATTGTTTAAATATATTCCAGTCTTTTCTAAATTTTTGTTTCACTTGATCCCTTCTCTGTCCTGTCAGTTTATCCATCTCAGCGTATTCCATCAGTCTAATCAGCCAATCTTTTTTTGATGGTATCATCTCACTTTTCCAATTCTGTGCAATCTAAACTCTTGCTGCCATGGTAGCGTACATAAATAATTTATTTAAATTTCTTGGAATTTCCCTCCCAATAATCCCTAAAAGAAATGCCCTGGGTTTTTTGGGAAATGAAATTTTGAGTATCTTTTTCAACTTGTTATAGACTGAATCCCAAAATTCCCTCATTCTTGTACAGGTCCACTAGACATGGTACATCCCACCACCTCCTTACATTTCCAACACTGGTCTGAATTATTTTTGTACATTATCGCTAATTTCCTCGGTGTTGTATGCCAGCGATAGAAGACCTTCATTTAGTTTTCCTTAATAAAATAACATGGGGTGAACTTAAGATGTTCCCTCCACAATTTTTGCCATTCTGAGAGTTGTATGTTATGACCTAAATCTCTTGCCCACTTTATCATGGCTGATTTTACCTCCTCGTCCTTCACTGACCATTCTAATAAGATTTTATACATTTTGGACAATATTTTCTCATCGTTATATATCAAATCTCTTTCGAACATTGGAAGTTCTTTGCTAAAACCCTTTTTGTCTTGTTTTTGATGGTACTGGAACCAATTATTGATTCTACTTTTTATTTCTTCAAATTTTTTGTTTTAATTGGTTGCCTTCTTCACAAAGAATGTCTTTATATGTAACCCAATCATTCATCATGTTGACGTTTTTTACTGCCATGGCTTCCATTGGTGACAACCACCAGGGTGTCTTTTGTTCCAGGATACCCTTGTTTTTTCTCCAGACAGCATACAGAGTGAAGTGCTTCTTATTACATGATTCATAAAAACTCTGTTGGCTCTCGCCTAGTCATAGCATAAGTAAGTGTGCCAGCCAAAATGATTATTAAAGCCCTCTAGATCTAATATGTCAGTGTTTTTCAATACTAGCCATTCCTTGGTCCAAGATAGGCATGCGGCTTCATAATGCAACTCAAGATTTGGCAGTGCAAAGCCTCCTCTTTCTCTACTGTCTGTCAAAAGTTTATAACTTATTCTCGGCCTTTTGCCCTGCCAAATGAATCTTGTTACATCTTTCTGCCAGGTCTTAAAATGTTTTGCACTGTCCACTACTAGGATGACTTGGAATAAGAAAAGTATTTTAGGCAACACATTAATTTTTATTGTGGAGATCCTACCCCAAAATGATAATCTTAACCTGTCCCACATTTCCAAATTTCTTTTTATCTCCTTCCAAGTTGGTATATAGTTGTCTTTATATAGATTAATGTTCTTTGCCGAAATCCAAATTCTTAAATATTTTATTCTTTTACTAGTTGTCAGTCCTGTAAGGTGCTGTAGTTCTCATCTATCCTCTTCTCTCATATTTTTGACTAACATTTTGGTTTTCTTCTTTATTAAGTTTAAAGCCTGCAACTAGCCCAAATTCTGTAATCTTTTCTATCACTATTGGCACACTTTCTTTTGGGTCTTCCGTAGTTATAGTCAGGTCGTTGGCAAGGCTTTTACTTTGAAAGTCTTATTTCCGACAACTATACACTTTTTGTTCTTTTCTTTTCTAATGTTCATATTCAAAACTACCAACACCAGTATGAATAACAGAGGGGATGAAGGACACCCCTGTCGTGTACCTCTCTTAATATTACAGTTTTCTGTTAGGCTATTATTTATAACTAATTTAGCTCTTTGTTGCGAATATATTGCATTTATACCTTTATAGAAATTTTCTCCTGCTCCTATCATCTCTAATGTGTTTTTTTCCATAAACTTCCAGGAGACGTTGTCAAATGCCTTCTCTGCATCAATAAACAGCAATGCTGCCTGTTTTTCATTTCTGACTTCCAGATACTCTAGAGTATCTGTTACATATCTTATATTATTTTTCATATGCTGTCCTGGAAGAAATCCTGCTTGGTCCTCATGAATATAGTCTTTGAGTATGCATTTCAATCTATTTGCTAGAATATCTGCAAATATTTTATAGTCGTTATTAAGAAGAGATATAGGTCGGTGGTTCTTCACTGATGTTGGATCTGTTCCCTTAGGAATCAGGGTTATGTAGGCCTCCTCCCATGATTCTGGTAGTTTGCCTTTATTTAGAATGTTATTCGCTACCTCTTGGGTGTTTGGGGGTGCACGTAGCTTTCAGGTCACCCCCTCTCAAAGCCTGTTGATGCTCGAGTCTCTCACTGGAGCTCAGACCCACGCCACGATCCTTCCCGTGGCAAACCAGAAGTCCCGCTGATCGAGATTCAGGGCCTGTTTTTGAGATGCTTTGTTTTGGAAAGTTTATGCTTTGCAATGGTTCATACACAGCCAGTCTAATGGAAAAAGGGGGTGTAGGCAAGCTGCATGTGAAGGATCCGACTTCCTTGCACCCCAGGCCACCTGGGAAGCCCCAAAACTCTCAGATTCTGCAGCTGGTAATTTTACCAGGAGTGGGAGAAATGTTTTCCTAACCCCCATATATATACATCTAGGTAAAGGTGAAAGATAAAGGACCCCTGGACAGTTAAGTCCAGTCAAAGGCGACTATGGGGTTGTGGTGCTCATCTCACTTTTCAGGCCAAGGAAGCCAGCGTTTGTCTGCAGACAGCTTTCCAGGTCGTGTGGCCAGCAGAACTAAACCGCTTCTGGCGCACCGTGATGAGTGCCAGTGCACACGGAAACACTGTTTATCTTCCTGCCACGGCAGTACCTATTTATCTACTTGTACAGTGGTACCTCTGGTTGTGAATGGGACCCGTTCCGGAGCCCCATTCGCAACCTGAAAGGAATGCAACCCACATCTGTGCGTCTGCACATGCGCAGGTCGAGATTCGCCGTTTCTGTGCATGCGCGTGACGTCATTTTGCGCGCATGCGTGGGCAACGAAACCCAGAAATAACCCTTTCTGGTACTTCCGGGTCGCCACAGGACACAACCTGAAAAGATGTAACCTGAACCGAATGTAACAAGAGGTATGACTGTACTGGCATGCTTTCAAACTGCTAGGTTGGAAGGAGCTGGGGCAGAGCAACGGGAGCTTACCCTGTTGCGCATATTTGAACTGCCGACTTTCCGATCAGCAAACCCAAGAGGCTCAGTGGTTTGGACCACAGTCCAACCCGCATCCCAGCTACAGGGGTGCCAGCAGGATCTTCCGTGTAATAGTTTTTATTAGTTTTCAGTTACAATAACCCAATAAAAGCTGCATTGTCAATACCAAATTATAATACCAAATTATAATACAATTAATAATATCAACTGATATCAAATGATATTATTTTGTTGGCCTCCTGTGTCCTAGAATTGATGATTTAATAATTTACTTTAATTCTGCATTCTAAAAACTTATAAATTCCAATTACACACCAGTCAGAATAACAAACCTTTATACTGCAGCTGCAATTTAAATGACTTCCATTTGCATTAACACGTCAAATAATTTACAGTCCTACAGGCAAAGCCTTCAAACTCTCTCTTTGTTCTTCTTGTGTGTGGCTATTTTTCTGTCCGTGCTGTTTCTTCCCGTCCTTGTACTGTATTTTCTCTATCTTTTGTCACTTGTTGCTGTTCTCCATCATACCTTGAGCGGAGCTAGTATTCCATTGCTGTTTCATAAGTTCTCCATTGCACTGTTCCAAGCCTCATTGTTTTGCAACTCAAGCATCAGCTGCAAAAATATACTGTTTTCTCTCAGCCTGGGGAGGAGAGGAGAGCCAGCTATCAAATTTCAAGTAACTCAGTAATGAACCTTCTTTGGCAAGCTTGCAGCCCCCTCTTATCTCTCCGTTCAGCTGACAAGCAGTTACAGATCCAATTAAATTCAATTCCAAAACATTTTAGCATTATTCAGTTCAGTCTGAGGATGATAAAAAGTAGGGAAGAGTCCGCTCTGAGTTTCCCTCATAAACCTTTGAAAAATAAAGCTTCTCTCCCTTCCCCCCTTTTTTCTTTACACACACAGTTCCATTTGATTTTATATTTCATATCTGCAATCAATTTTTCACCATTGCCACCTGTACTTCCATAATTTCAGCTTCAAACTTAGCAAAGTAAATGTACATCCATGTATTTCAGGGGAGGGTTGCCGAATCATAAATATAAAAAATCAAAGTGTAAAGAAGCCAAAGGCCCCCCTCCCCGCCAACCGTCTTTTACACCAAATGAAATCATTTTTCCAAGTTCAAAACTTAACAACCTTGCAGCTGTTTCGATTGTGCAGTTTTTGGTCTCATCTTTTCCAGCACACGTCTGTACATTAGTCCAAATTAAAATCTAATGAATAGAAGAACCTCTGCTTCTTAATGGCAGCGTAGGAGGGTTATCAACAGGCGAAGTGCTTTTGCACTCAGCGCCTCCCTGCCTCTTGCATTCCATGCTGGAGCGAGAGCCAGGTACCGAGAGGATCTGCAAGTGAAGCCCATTCCCCCTGGAGGAAAATTTTCAAGGATAATTACCCTCAATCATCTTTGTTTTTTCTTCACCAACAATCTCCCACTGTTGTGGGAGGTGCCTCCATTAAGACAGACAGGAACCAGAAGCCCTGGTATAGTGGTGAGCACAGCTGCCTTCCAACAGGATCTTCTGGATCCAGTACGCTGTAGATAGATTGAGCCTTCTGACTCACTTGCGAAAGAGGACTCAGATTTGCATAAAATCAGTGTATGCTTTGGGTCATATGCAAATGTATGCTGTCTTTTTCTGCCTGCTGCACAGCTGTTAAAGGCACAAGAATCCTGTTTTCCCCCAATGATAACCATAAACCAGAGTCTAGGCTGAAATGCAGTGTTCACTTATCTGGGAGTAAGCCCCATTAAGACAAAGAGACTTACAGCTGTGTACAGACACATATACCATTGTCTTGTCAGTTAATGGGTGCCTGGTCTTTAGCTCCTGCACAGCAAGAGACACGCTTAAGCTTCTTTGCAAAGTTTTCATGCTTTTTATTTGCATATTTTTTTTTGCAGGATGGATTCTTGAAGCCCTCTAGCACACTTATTCTCTAGTAGTATTTGCATAAAATAACTTCTAGGGAATCCCTGAGCTCAATGAACCTGCCACAGGAAAGATGCATCATGGTTGCTTGTAAATTATTATTATTATTATTATTATTATTATTATTATTATATTTATTTATTTATACTCCGCCCATCGGGCTGGGTTTCCCCAGCCATTCTGTAGAAGGTTAAGCTGTGTGGATACCAAGGATTAGAAAATGAGACCAAAGCAGTAAAAGTGCACCTAAGGGGAGGGGAATACAGCAGCTCTTTAGGACCCAGGGCTTCCTATTGCCTGGTGTTGAAACAACTCACTTAGCACTTGTTAGCTAAAAACACTGGTAGGCAGGAGCAGCCAGGCAGTCTTATCTCACAGAAATCACTTAGAAAGTTGCCTGCACATTTTGCTTCATAACTTTCATTCTCGGTGGACTAGAGACTCCCCCTCCCCATGAAAGGTCAGGGTAGGGACCCTTGTTCTCTGTGAGCCTGGCATACCAGTGCCTCCTGTACCGCCCTCTCAAGTGGACCTGCGCATCAGTCACATCCTGAGCATCGGTGAAAAACACCTTCAGAGGGTTAGCATGTACATTTGATAGGATTAAGTGGGAAAGCTTTTCTGGGATTGTATCACCTCAGGAAAAAGGTGGATGGGGGTTGAATATTGGAACACTTCTCCCACCCCAATCAACTTCCCAATCTTAGCATGCCAGCAAGAAAGCATTGCTCATTTCCCTGAAGTAGTTCTTTTCTTCATGGAGGAAACTTCCTTCCTCCCCTAGGGAAGTTTCAAACATGCGGTCCTCTGCCCCCCTTCAGCTTGATGTGATCCAGTCCCAGCATATGATTGATTCTACTGACAGCAGAGACTCGATTCCGCTGGCAGTATAAACTAGCTCTCTGTGTCTTTTGGTAGACTGGCAACCTGCATCTTGGGGGGGGGGGTTGCCTTCTGGGGAGGTGCATCGATCCAAAACCACGTGTAGTCAAGCTGCCATTGGAACTGCCCCATGCAAGCAATCTGACCTTCTGGAGCTGGTGCGCTGAATGGGTCTTAGCTCTCCCTGCCAAGCAAAGCAGAGAGCTTTGAAGCTCTCCACCTTGTATCCTGAGCTCTGGGAGACCCTTGCATGGGCTTTGGTGAGATCTCACAGGAACTCAGATGGCTTTGTGAGATCTTGCGAGAGCCTCCCAGAGCCTAGCAAGCGCAGGGTCCATACGGAGACACCACGGGACTCCTTCAGCCCCGATGTGCCTAGGATGCACGAGAGGATGCGTGGTGTTGGGGGAGCCCACCCTGGCTGAATCCTGTGGCTCCTCTATTCTCTTGCCTCTGGAAGCACCCCTGGATCAGAACCTCCCCCAAGTGCAACCTGAGCCTGGTCTGGAAAAGCGGGTCTTCTGGCTGCAGCAGCAACCCTGAGAGAGTGGGAGGAGGAAGCAGCGACTGGAGCTGTGCCCGCTCCAACCACGAGGCTGCCTCTTCCACCCTGCCCCAAATCCGGCGCTGAGCTGTACTATTCAGAATCTGCGTTAAAATGTCTGATCTGCTATCCTGAGTGGTGGGGAGAGATCCCAGCAAATGCAATGTGAAGGCTTTGCTCTTAAGCCCTATCCTTTGAATGACTACATAATTGCAATGGCTCATAGAGTCAGGCCATTAACCATTGCCTGCACATTTCCAGACATTTCTCAATGACGAATGAGAGCTAGAAACTTGATTTAAAAATAAATGTCAGGACACAATAAGTTTCTCAAACTTGCTGGTCTATGGAATAGACTTAGCTCTTATTTTGACGGTTCAGGGTGTATGTTGGCTTAAGTCTCCAATCTGGCATGTGCTTAAGCAAGGCATTTCCACTGAACTCATCAGGGTGTACTTCTGAGTAAGTGTGTGATACAGTAAGTTCAATCAGTACATGGTGGTGCTGGGAACCAAGGTTAGAGTGTTCTCCTCCAGCTCTGTGAGTGAAAAGCAGATAGAGCAGACTGTTAGTTAATCAGTGCCACCTCTGATGAAAGGGGCTGTCAGGCACAGAAGGGGTCTTTCCCATCACCGGCTTCCTAATATTTATAACTTGGGCCCCACCTGCATTATAAGCAGGATCATACCACTTCTAACAGTCATGATTTCCACCAAAGACTCCTGAGAAATGTAGTTTGTTAAGGGTGCTGAGAGTTGTCATGAGATCCCGTTGTTGTTGTTGTTGTTTTATTATTTATACCCAGCCTTTTTCTCCTGGCAAGGACTCCAAGTGGCTGACAGATAAAATAACAGCTAAACCATAGACACACACACACACACACACACACACACACACACACACGTTGGCATCCGTCTGTCTCAAAAGACAATGGGAGTGAAATCAAACTAGAGTGTTAGCAAAACCACAGTGATCTCCCCGGGGTCCAAGCTCTGGCAGTGTGTATGGCGGTTCTGGGCTGCTCAGAGGATAATACTCCCCTCTTGGCCTCACTGATGTGGTCCAAAGGAAAGCAGAGTAAGATGTTGGGCACCAGCTTGGCTGCAGGGGTTGCCAGAAGGAGGCGTACAAGATGCCAGCAAACAAAGTTTGAAACAAACAAAGTTTGAATCAAAGATCTGCTCTATGAAGCCCGCATTCCCAGCATGTTTGCAATGTCTACACTGGCTTGGTCATGCTCACAGAATGGAAGGTGGCGGGATCTCAAAGGATGTGCTTTTTGGGGAGCTGGCTTCAGGCACCAGGCCTACTGTGTTAAAAAGATGTCTGCAAACGTGACACAAAGGCTGGCAACATTAGTCCTGCAATATGGGAATTCCTTGCAGATGACCACAGTGTCTGGAAACAGTCAGGTTGTGCATCCACAGCAGTGACCAGAGGAAAAATGACCGCTGCGAGGAGTACTGAGAGATGAAATGCCATGGTGCATCTGTAACAGCACGATAGGGTCTCCTAACACTTCTTAGCACCCTTAATAGACTACAGTTCCCAGAATTCTTTGGGGAAAGCCATGACTGTTTAAAGTGGTGTGATACTACTTTAAGCGTAGTTTGAGGATGGGGCCTCAGAGGGCCAAGGATTGAATCCAATACCTTTTGCACACAGAGCATGCCATTCTAATGCTGAGCCTTCCCCTTGTGAGTAGGGACAGGGTTAAAAAGCAGGATAGAAATCCCAAATCCATAGAGTAAGTCACAGGGTGGGACTGGAGTTTCAGAGCTCCCCTTGACTTCTATTCTTGCCTTCTGCGTGGGCTGGCCCTGGCTGGGTCCAAACCTAGGAATCCCAGGTCCTAATCTTGGCTACCGGTGGGCAGTGAGGTTAGAGAGAAGAAAGCAGAGGTGGCTGTTTGCAGCCCTGTGGAGTGTTAAATAAACTCATTCCACTTTGATGGAGGGATGGGGGAGCAGCTGTCCTTGGGGAAACAGAGTGAAACAGTCTGTGAGTGTGTTTATTGTATGGGGGCGATCCACTTTCCCTTTTCCTGAATGCTCCATTATTCCTGGAAACTGTTGCCCAGGATTGGTGGGGGAGTGAAGAGCCAGAGCTTTGGCTAAGTGGGGAAACCAGGCTGGGCTGAGAGCCAGGCCTTAGTTGGAACCACATGCCTGTCTCACCCTCAGAGAGAGGGAGAGGGAGAGCCAGAGAGCCTGCCTAGGCTCCTGTGTGTGCGTGCGTGGGCATATTTGGGTGGGAAGGTCAGAGTTGCAACAGAGAGGCTGAGACAAGGGAAGTACGGGGGCTGGGATTTGGAGATGGGGTGATGCACCAGAGGATGGCGTCACTTTGGGAATGGGGCCAGGGATGCCAAATATGGGATAATGGCGCAGAGGGGAAGATAATCAGTGCGGCTTTTGTGTATGTATTTCTGCTTGTGTGGGCTCCTCTCTGGTCTGCTTGCTTGGGTCAGATGGGATGTTGTTGTGACACAGCAACCCAAGTTTTGTCGAAGCAGATTCATTCCCTCACCACCTTTTCTCTGGAATCCTGGCTGCCCCAGCTGTGAACCTTCTGTCTGCTGGAAGGCTGCCCATCTCCCCCCTCCCCACCCCAAATTCCTTCCCCAGCCAATACTGCACTTGAGCGCAGAGGCCAGCAGGCACCACCAACAGACTGGCACTGAGCATCACCACCCTGAAAGGAGCAGGGATGATGGAAGGAGGCATGGCAGAGAGCATGGCAGGAGCCAGGAGCCTCTCACAATACCCGGCACTGCACTGTTTTAAGCAGATTTATTGCACTTTAACAGTCATGGCTCCTCCCCCGCCCCTCACCAAATAATCCTGGGAAGCGTAGTTTACCCCTCACTCAGCTACAATTCCCAGCACCCTTAGCAAACTACTGTTCCCATGAGTCTTTGTGGGAAAGCCACATGCACTACATGCGGGGTGTGGGTGGCTCTCCAAACAGGCCTCTGAGCTCCTGCCCCTTTGGCTCCCATCCCCACTGGCCTTTTATCTGCAGCTCTCCTGCCTTTCCTCTGCTCTTTCCCGGCAGGATCCGTGCTTTAAAGCTCTGTGTCCAAGCGCTTTTCCTTTTCTCTAGAGCTTTCCCCACAAAAACCTTCTCATTCCAGCTCAATTGGAGCAAACAGCAATCAGCTTAAAAACCCAAATTGGCGTCTGCTCCAATTAAGTGGGTTTTTGTGGGGAAAGCTCCAGGACAAAAACAAAACGAAACAAAAAACCAACCATGCTTGGATACAGAGCTTATAAGTGGGGCAAAAGGTAAGTTTGATAAGCCCTCTGTGGCTCTCATTGGGCATCAACATAGCAGACAGAGCTGAGACATCCTTACCCAGGGCAGGTAATATGGCCAGGGAGCAGCAGGGCAGGACTGAGTGGCAGAGCATCTGCCTTGTGAGCAGAAGGGCTGGGTTCAACCCACAGCATCCCCAGGCAGGGCTGGGAATGTCTGGAAGCCTTGAGGTCTGCTGCCAGTCAGTGTAGGCAGTACTGAGCTAAATGACTTTATTCATTGCCTGCATGTGTCCACTGAGCACACGAATGAGATCCTGCTTGCGCTCCTCTGGGTGCTGCGTGTGGTGCCGCAAATCTAACCATGTGCAGAGAGGCTGCATCCTGCCCAGCTGTGCACAAATTTGATGGTATGACAAAAATAGTAACCCCCTCTGCTTTCTAGAGATGCCACCATACATCATGAGCAGGATTGGAGCTGTGAGTAACAGAAATAATTAGATTATAATATAATGGTTCTGATTTAATAGATAGAAGATAAAGTGCAGCAGAAGGGAAGAAACGGGGTGAGAACGGATCTGGCAGAACGGATCTGAATTTGCAGCCCTTTAACACAAAGGAGGTCCATTCCTCTTGGTTCACACTCTTTATTTTAGCAGTGTGATTTAGGTGAGGGAAAGTTGTTGGAGAAATGAATAGGAGTCAGGAATCCTTGCAGATCTACTGCAAAAGCAAACCTAGAGAATATTCCCTGAACAATCAATAGATACAAAAGAGTAAATAAAGCCAAGGAACTAAATGAACATAATTCTTTCTTATCACATACTTATAAAATGTATCTTATAAGATACAGTGGGATTTGAAAATTTAACAAAGAATGATTCAGACACTGTGTATCATCGCATCAATGTATTCTAGATACAGCTATATATTTTAGAATACACTGATGTGATATTATGCACACTGCTTTTCAGTGTTGTGAAGTCACATGCAATGGTTGGTCATTACTGCATATTCCGTAGGTCAGAGATTTATTGTAAACTTTTCAAATCCTTCCATATCTATGTTATTAAAAATGGTTGATTTACTTTTTTGCACCTTTTAGATTTATTCCAGGCACAGAGATCTCCCAATAGATCTCAGTCTTCCTTCTTCTGTACAATTCAAGCACAAACACTCAGTAACAATACTGGTGCTGATTTTAAGCCCCAAACAATCTCCGAAAGCAAAACAGCACTGTGGGCTTTGATGCAAAACCCCTGGCAACTAGCCTGGACATTTAGAAAACAAAAGATTTGCTGGACCAGTTTTGGTCTGGTCAGCCAGCACCCCTTGCTGGTCTGGACGCAACCAGAGAAGGTTTCTGCTCCTTATTTGGAGTCCTGCGGTGGAGAACGTATCTTCCTTCCACTGCACTCTGAGGTGTTATAAACTGTGTCTGGTTTCCTGGCTCCTAAGCTGAAGCAATGCCAAGCAGACGTTTGGCACCAGCTGGTTTCTAGGCCAAAGCTGAGGGCTGGGAGAAGGTGTCCGGTGCGGCAGAAGAGGCACTCAGTAGGACGGCAGAAGGGAGAGCCATGGGCACCACTGCTCTGAATGGGAATGAGCTGAGTGAGGTGGGGCCCCAGCCTGGGAGAAGGGAAGCTTTGGCAGAAGGGGCTGCTGGTAGGCTCTGCTGGCTGAGATCACGTCCTCTCTCTCTCATCTCACTTCCCATGGTGCTTCCAGCCACTAGAGCTGCCTCAAGCAATTACCACAAGAAATGGATTATATATATAATGGGACTACATTGGGGTCTTGTAGGGCTTCCTGTCCAGCTATGATGGCCAGTGGGAACCAGCCTGGGAATTTTCAAGCACTTGGGGAATTCACCTCTGATGCAGCAGAGAGCTTGTGAAACTCAAGCTCAGGCGAAGCTTCGCGTTAAATGCGTAGTTTGGCTGTGCCTGTTTTTTCTTTGTTGGTTTGGTTTGGTTTTTTGTGAATAGCATCCCCAAGGCGCTTCCAGGCAACCTGTTTCTTGAATTGTTTCCTGATTTGTTTGCAGGGAGTTTGGAGGGTTGTTGTGGCAAGCAAGGGTTTCCCCACACTTTCTGGTGCATTTTCCATTAGTTTTCCTTATGGCAAAAGAACAGAAGAAGTAAGGTCTGATCTTTTGGAGAAGCTGGTTTGTTGTGCAGGAAGTCCAAGCCAGCTTTAATTGTGCAACCTTCAGTTTGTGGGGAAAGAGTTGAGTCCTACCTGAACATAGTGATGGTCTGAGGAGCGCCTCCAATATCTGTGTGATGGGTCAAGACTGGGGCTGTAGAGAGAAGGGAAGCTTTTTATTGACCTTTACCCCTGTGCCTAGGGAATATAGGGTTCTGCCTGGGATCATGTCAGACAACCAGTCCTTCCAGCTCAGCACTGTCTAATCCAACTGCCAATGGCTTTCCAGGGTTTGAGGCAGCAGCCTTTCCCCAGCCCTACCTGGAGATGCCAGGAATTGAACCTGGAACCTTCCACATGTAGAACAGATGCTCCACCACTGAGCTGTATGGCCCTTCGCTGTCCAGGGGTCCTGGATACTCCACTCCCCAAGCAGCTATTTGCATCAAGAGAGAAGCTGCCATTGCCTCCTGGCGCAAATAGCAGCCCCCGTGGGTTGATGAGGGTGGTTTTCATTTGAGCTGTGGCATGTTGGAAAAGATTAAAGACCACAGACTCATAGTGTGGTCTGGCTTTGAATTCCCCCACAGTTGCTTTTAAAAGATAAAAACAAAATACCTCCCAAAGGACACACCAGCAGTGCAGCTCTACACAAGGACTCCTTAGAAGTAAGTCTCATGGAGCTTGGAGGGGGGGTTTCATGTATACGGGTAGGATTGTACTCGCTGCACTACTGTGCACTGGGAGCCAGTGTGGTGTAGTGGTTAAGAGCGGTGGATTCGTAATCTGGGGAGCCAGGTTCGCGTCTCTGCTCCTCCACATGCAGCTGCTGGGTGACCTTGGGCTGTTCACACTTCTCTGAAGTCACTCAGCCCCACTCACCGCACAGAGTGTTTGTTGTGGGGGAGGAAGGGAGAGGAGAATGTTAGCCGCTTTAAGACCCCTTAAAGGGAGTGAAAGGCGGGATATCAAATCCAAACTCTTCTTCTTCTTCTCCTCCTCACCCATCTGCTTCCCAGGATGTTCACCCACTGGTCTTCCTCTCTCAATTTGCACTTCAGCTCCTGAAACTCCTCCTTACCTTTGGGATCCTATTCCTATGATGAGCCGCCATTTCCCCAGTTTGTGGTAGATGGCTGAAGGCAGTGTCTTCTCTGCTCATCGTAACTAGAAAAAGAACAGGGACTGAATGGTACTGGCAGGAAAGTTGGATATGATTAATAGCCAGTATCTGGTAGGATTGTGCCTACTTACCAGACTGGTGACACCACAGATGCGGGTGGCGCTGTGGTCTAAACCACTGAGCCTTTTGGGCTTGCCAATCAGAAGGTTGGCAGTTCAAATCCCTGTGACGGGGTGAGCTCCTGTTACTCTGTCCCAGCTCCTGCCAACATAGCAGTTCAAAAGCACACCAGTGCAAGTCAATAAATAGGTACCGCTGTGGCGAGAAGGTAAATGGCATTTCCGTGCGCTCTGGTTTCTGTCAAGGTATCCCGTTGAGCCAGAAGCGGTTTAGTCCTGCTGGCCACATGACCTGGAAAGCTGTCTGTGGACAAACACCAGCTCCCTCGGCCTGAAAGCGAGATGAGCACCACACCCCACAGTCGCTTTTGACTGGACTTAACCATCCAGGGGTCCTTTAGCTTTAGCTTTTTAACTACAGAGAGATGCTCATTCTGTCCAAAGGGCTGGTGGGTTCTTAGAATAGCAACCACCCTTGGGACATCTTATTTTTTAACATGGCTTAAATTTTAGTATGCTTAAGTCAATGTCTGGCACCCCAGAATTAGAAGGGAGATCCAGAACTAGAAGGGGAGTCCAGCCCCCCCCCCCCGGCTTTACATTTGCATTGCAGCTGAGTCCCTAGATTTCCAGGAAGTAGGGAGCTATAAGCCCTGATGCCCACTGGAATATAATAATAGAATGGCAGTTCATAATAGCAGCATCACTACCTCATGTTGCATATGATTCCTTTGACACTTGCATTTTTGTTTTGTTTTACTGTTCTCTTGGAAATAAATCTGCAATTTCATTGTCATTTATCTAGCTATTAAAGGTGGTGCTGACACTTTCAGGTGCCAGGGCTGCAGAGTTGCTGGTGCTAGAGAGGCTCAAGGGGGCTTTCATTCTTTTACTCTCAAGCCAGGGGTGTTGCCAAACAAGAAAACTACCACCAATGTGTCACTGCCCCTGGTGGTCAGAACCGGGAACAGTCAAATTGCAGCCTGTGTTGCTTCACTGTCAGCTGATCTGGATCACATCTGACTCCACCACATAGAGCATCATAGGTCCAGCTGTTTTATAGTCTGAGCACTTTGTCAAATACCTTGATTGCTTTCCAAAACTGCTAATTAACTACCTATTGTTGGATCAGTTTTCTGGACCCACTGATGACAGGGATCATTAGTATTATGTTAGCATGTGGATTTCAAAATTGCTGCCCTCAAAAGAATGTCTGGTCTTCATGGGAAATTCCTTGTTTCTCTGAGCAGCCTGTGATTAATCCCTTTCCATTTTTAAGAACTGGCAACTTATCTCCACTTGGAATGTGTCCTACTTTAACCCCCAGGATAGGACTCACTTACTTTCCTTTTGCTGACAAAAAGGGGGGGAAACAAATTGATGTGCTTGATAGGAAGACAACCTTTGAAACAGAAAGTAAATGAAGGGGTTCTGAACAGACAGGACATGAAAGCTGCCCATAAGAGTGACCCTCTGTGAATTTGGATGATGAATATCCTCCAAATGTGTGGGCAACCAGCTATTATTTTGTATTCAATATTAGGATTTGACATTGATCAGCAATCTGGTTTATCACCAGTGCCAGGCAGTGGTGGTCAGTATTTACCAGTATGTGACAGCTGACATGGGGCCCGTACACACTCTGCTTTTCCTGTGTTTTCTAGGCACAGGGTCTGAGCAGGTTCCCCCTTGCCCCACTCCTTCCCCAGGGAAAGCCCACTCTTTAGTGCTAAATGGGAGCAAACGTCAATCTGGAGAAAACCCGAATTGCCATTTGTTCCAACTGAGTGCTAAGAATGGTTTTCCCCAGGAGAAGCAGCAGGACCAGAGGAAGGGTGAATGAGCACTTACAGTTGCTTTCAGTGCATTTTGTACAAACCTCATCCATCCTTTATTCAGTCCTTCATTCATGCATCCAAGCAGGAAAACATTATCTTGAACTGGTTGTTGTTTGTTGTTGTTTAGTCGTTTAGTCGTGTCCGACTCTTCATGACCCCCTGGACCAGAGCACGCCAGGCACTGCCTCCTGCAGTTTGGTCAGACTCATGCTGGTAGCTTCGAGAACACTGTCCAACCATCTCGTCCTCTGTCGTCCCCTTCTCCTTGTGCCCTCCATCTTTCCCAGCATCAGGGTCTTTTCCAGGGAGTCTTCTCTTCTCATGAGGTGGCCAAAGTATTGGAGCCTCAGCTTCAGGATCTGTCCTTCCAGTGAGCACTCAGGGCTGATTTCCTTCAGAATGGAGAGGTTTGATCATCTTGCAGTCCATGGGACTCTCCAGAGTCTCCTCCAGCACTATAATTCAAAAGCATCAATTCTTTGGCAATCAGCCTTCTTTATGGTCCAGCTCTCACTTCCATACATCACTACTGGGAAAACCATAGCTTTTACTATACGGACCTTTGTTGGCAAGGTGATGTCTCTGCTTTTTAAGATGCTGTCTAGGTTTGTCATTGCTTTTCTCCCAAGAAGCAGGCGTCTTTTAATTTTGTGGCTGCTGTCACCATCTGCAGTGATCATGGAGCCCAAGAAAGTAAAATCTCTCACTGCCTCCATTTCTTCCCCTTCTATTTGCCAAGAGGTGATGGGACCAGTGGCCATGATCTTGGTTTTTTTGATGTTGAGCTTCAGACCATATTTTGTGCTCCCCTCTTTCACCCTCATTAAGATGTTCTTTAATTCCTCCTCACTTTCTGCCATCAAAGTTGTGTCATCTGTATATCTGAGGTTGTTGATATTTCTTCCGGCAATCTTAATTCTGGCTTGGTAAAAATCCTCAAATAGTTGACTGCTGTATTTTGTACGAGAGCCATTTATTTTGAAACATGACTGTTAAATTTTGATACCAAATCTTGAAACCAAAACCTCCATTTTAAGATCTGAATAATTCATCAAATTTCAAACACTGTTAGCATTTTGTTTCTGTTCTAGATCTGAGCTACGCTTGTTGTTTCTGGCAGGCAATGATTTGTGCACCATGTGTGACATACCAAATGCCAAGGCTTAGGATCTAGCCAGCATTTACGGGGGTGAAATAGACCATTTATGACATGTGATAGTGGAGATACAGGTTTCAGGAATCATGCTCATCACAGGTCTTGAACAAAGCAACCATTTTCGGAATGACAGTGTTCCCAATTAACGTTCACACCCACTTCCCCCCTAGTTACTCCGGTCACTTCCACCCCTTGCAACTTGATCTCTCCGCCACCTGGCCTTCTGTTCAGCCACCTTATCTAATCTCCTTGCCCTTGGACTAAGAGGCTGGATGCTTTCCAGAGAGCATCCACTTCTTCTTCCTCTTCTAGCTGTCTCCCCCCCCCCCAGTTCTTCCCAACTGTTGTCTTCCAGACTGTGTCCCACAGCAAACCATTGTTCCAAATCAATACTGCTCTCCTGCTCCTGTGCAGCTTGAGGATCCTGGCCAGGAGCAGAGAGAGGGGGAGGCTCCCACCGTTCTTCATCAGAGCAGTACTCGTCAGCCTGGTCTCTGACAAATACCTGTGTGATGGTGCATAGATGACCCAGCCTCTGCCATCCCACACCTGCCGTGCCACCACCTCTTTCTTGGCCAGTTCCTGAGTGTGCAACACTCTGCTTATTTTGCTCATTCCTTTGCTCCATTTTAAAGGCCATCCTAATCCCAACGGCTTTGTGGAGGTGGCTCTGCTGGCCCATTCTCATGTGTTTCCAGGTTGGCTTGTGGCACCAGCTCAATCTCATTACCGTAATAAACATTGTGAAGCCAATTTTTGGATAGGAATGCAGAGGTCGTCACAGTGATTATCTCCGACATCTCTAATCACTCAGGGAGAGACGCCATTAATGCCCCCATTTTACAAATGGAGGACTGACACCAAGTGCTTTGTTGAAGCCCCACCCCCTACCCCCGGTTCAATCCACTACCACACCCTACTGCACCCTAGTTGGGGATGTCACATTGGGGGCCGTGCCTGCATTTTAATTGCTTGCTTGCAGAAGCGCCATGTTTTTAGGTCTGAGCTGAGCGGGATTCATCTAATGACCCCTGTCAGTGGAAGCTCTGAGCAAGGACTTCCACTTGCGCAATGGGGATTCCCCCCTCTTCCCCCCTGAAATTGGTTTGTGGGGGTTGTGAGAACCCCCAGAACAGGGCAGGGGAGGAAGAAAGAGGGGCTCTTCCATCTGGCATACAGAAACGCTTGCACAGATGAAATGTTCACCATAGTGCAATGCTGAATTCCATCTATTGGGTGGTTTTCACTGCTAGTCCTACTCAGAGTAGACCCATTGAAGTTAATGGACATGACTAACTTAGAGGCTCATTAATTTCAATGGTGCTGTGCTGAGTAGGACTAGCACTGAATACAACCTACGATTTTGCTCTAATTAGCAGGCTCAGAACAACAACTCATCTTTTACTTTCATGTTTTATTGACCTGTCAGCTCAGTACCAGTGTTGAAATCAGTTTAAAATGGTTAGACATAGTTCACTTTCAATCTTAACTGTCAGTTATCTGGCTTTGCCATCAGCAAGTGAAAGTGACCTCATGTTGCTGAGCTGCTCAGTTGAAACGAGCATTGGGGTAGTTCACACAAGGGGTTTTAGGTGCACAGCCATTTCCAGGTATGGATGATGAGAAATGCATTTGGAAGCTAGGCAGGGAAGCTTTGTCTGTCAGCCAGGCTTTGCTGCACCTCCCTGGGACTTCTCACACATTACTCAACAAACTGAGGTTTGCTACTGAGTATTAGGGATGCATATATTAGGGTTAAACCTGCATATAAACACATATAATGAAATGATTTTTTTAATGAAATGATAATACAATACAGTTTGTGTAAATGCATATAATATTAGGAAAATTCCCTCGCAAAAAATTGTGTATTGGGCAGAATTCAATATATATATAAATATATACATTAAGGGAAATTCGCATTAAGATGCTGATGAATTTTTACATCGCACAGAGAGAGGGAGAGAGAGAGAGAGAGAGAGAGAGAAGGCACCGGTTCTGACCATGAAGTTGTTACAGTGCCCTTGAGTACCCCCAGAAGAAAACACTGTAATATATATATTACACTGGTGTGGAAGTGTGGGGAGCTGAACTGCAGCCTGGAAAGATAAGAAGGAGCTTGCACGGCAGCAGCTGAAGAAGGTGCAAAAAGGGTTTTCTTGTGTGTGTGTTTCTTTGTGGCTGATTAGCTGCTCTCCCTGTGCAAAGGTCAGAGGGGGCAGGGTTTCTGTTGAGGCAGGTGATTAGCTGTGGGAGGAGCTTATCAGAGCTTGCAGGGCAGCGGCGCGCGCCTAGCGGCACGTGCAGTTTGATCCATCTTTTAGATTTAGGGGAGCTAGTCTCAAATGTTTGTTGGGGGAGACCTAGGTTTTTTGGGGGGGGAGTTATTTGTCCTGTCTTCACGCTTTTTATGATGGAGGACCGCTGTAGCCACCCCCAACGACACGTTCTCAAGATGGAGGGGGAGGGAACAGCTGCAGTCACCTGCGGTTCCTGCGCAATGTTTGCCATCTTGCCAAAGGTTGCAGGCAGCTTTACCTGCAGCAATTGCATGTTGATTGCCCTCTTAAAAGACAAAGTCCAGCAACTGGAGGAACGTGTAGCTACGCTCCAAAGAATTAGAGAGCTGGAGCTCTTCTTGGAAGCAACAGAGCACACCGTCTCCACCAAGGAGGAGACAGGGGACTCCCCTGAGAAGGAGGCTAGTTCACCAACACAGGAGCCAGATATATGGAGAAACGTGACTCAAAGAAGTAGGAGGCCCAGGGTTCCCTCTGATTGTTTAGAAATACACAATCGCTTTGAGGTCCTCTCCCCTAGCATGGAAGACGAAGAGCAGACTCCATTTGAGGATCTCTCCCTCATTACAGTCGATCAGGTATATGAAGATGAGCAGCAAAGTCAGTCCTCAGGGAATGTGCAGGCGACCTTGGAACGGACAGCTCACGGAAGAACCCCGACCAAACCTAAGAGGAGGCGTGTAGTGGTGATAGGGGATTCCCTACTGAGGGGAACAGAAGCAGTGATCTGTGGGCCTGACAAGATGTCTCAGGAAGTGTGCTGTCTCCCCGGGGCTAAGATCCAAGATGTAACTGAACGACTGCAAGGAATCATAAAACCCACTGACAAATACCCCCTCCTCTTGGTTCATGTGGGAACCAATGACACTGCAAGCAATAGCCTCCAGCAGATCAAAAGAGACTACGAGGCTCTGGGCAGGAAGTTGAAGCAATTAAATGCACAAATTGTCATCTCATCTGTCCTCCCAGTTGAACGACGTGGCCCAGGGAGAGAGGGGAAAATAGTGGAAGTGAACAGCTGGTTTCGCAAATGGTGTAAACAGGAACGGTTTGGATTCTTAGATCACGGACTGCAGTTTCTTGAAGATGGACTTCTGGCAAGCGATGGGCTGCACCTCACAACGGTTGGGAGGAATGTTTTTGCCAAAAATCTCAGAAACCTCATCAGGAGGGCTTTAAACTGACTAATGTGGGGAGGGAGACAGTGCTCCTGAAGGTAGGAGTCTATCAATTGATGAAGATGATCATCCAAATGTCATAGACCAAATGGAGCAAACAGCACGCAGACCTAGTGGTGGGAGGAAAAAATCCTTAAATAAGAGTCACGGGGGAATGATTAATGGACTTCAATTTCTGTACACTAATGCGCAAAGCATGGGAAATAAACAAGATGAGCTTGAGCTCTTGGTACAGCAAACTAAATATGACATAATAGGCATCACTGAAACCTGGTGGGATAAGTCCCACAACTGGAATGTAACAATGGAGGGATACAATCTATTTCAGAGAAACAGACCAGACAAGAAAGGAGGAGGAGTGGCGTTATATGTCAGGGATGTGTATACCTGTGAAGAGATCCAAGATTTAGAACCTCAAAGCCAAAGTGAGAGCATTTGGGTCAAAATTAAGGGAGAGAAGAATAACAGTGACCTCATTGTGGGAGTTTACTATAGATCCCCAAGTCAAACGGAGGACATAGATGATGCCTTCCTGGAACAGATGGCCAAGCATGCAAAAGGAAGGGAGATAGTAGTAATGGGGGACTTCAATTACTCGGATATTTGTTGGATGTCAAACTCAGCCAAGAGCATAAGGTCAAACAGATTCCTCACTGGCCTTGCAGACAACTTCATTGTCCAGAAAGTGGGAGAAGCAACAAGAGGAACAGCCATTTTAGATCTGGTCCTAACCAATGTTGATGACCTGGTTAGTGGGGTAGAAGTGGAAGGATCTTTTTTTTTTTAAAATGATATTTATTGAAAAAAAAAATTTTTTAAGTTGCAAAAGAAAAACAAAGTAGAAAAAGAGAAAAACAAGCCACTTCCAACCATACATATACAAATTCAAAATAAGAGAGAAAAACAAAACAAAACACCACAAACATTTAAAAACATTTAAAAACAAATCCATTATTCTCAACTCCTCAACTATCATTGCCCTCTTTCCTTGACCTCCTCCTCCTCCCCTTCCTTGTATCCTGGTTATTAATTGTCACAGCAAATCCTTTCCATATTTCATAATATTCTGTCATTACATTACCTTAAACTATTTTAATCTTATCTTACTATAAAAACCTTGAAACTTAAAACTTAAATCTTATTTTTACCAACTTCTCATAACCATAATATTTTTGCATAATTCTTTAAACATTTTTACTAAAGCCAAGTAACTTCATTCCAACATTTTTCTAACATTCATCAATTTTGTAAAACAGTCCTAGTAGTGAAAAAGAGAAATAAAAACAAATCCAATCTTCATCCAGCGTCCCTTCCTTCTGGTCCCGGGTTTTGTCAGTCCTTGTTATCCCATCAATCTGGCACATTAACCTGGTATCCTAATATCCGAGGCCCTTAAGTCTCTTCCATGTCCCTTCCGCAGCTCTTCTTCATATTTGTAACTGTATTTTCCCTTATCTCCTGCTCGTTTCACTCGTGGGAACTCCAGCTTAGCAATATTTTTGACCCTTCTCGACAGATCAGCCCCTTTTCCATAATCGACACTAAATTCCATGTGGTATTTAAAAACATGTTTCAAAATCCCTCCAAAATTGAGAGCCCCCACAATCCCAAACATCTCACGGCCCATTGCCAGACTTGAAAAGTCCAAACATCCCTGCATAGGAGGGTCTATCCAACCCCCCATTTCCAAACCAAACCAAACTTTTCCTTTCCAAATCTGGCTTTTTCCAAGTTCATTTGTCAAATCCGAAAGTTCATATTCCTGTTGGGCCTGTTCTGTCAGGCCACACTCCTGATTTAATTCCTGGGTGGGCTCCACATATTTTCCCACTGCCTGTTCAAAATTTCCCACTGCCTGTTCAAAATTTCTAATCGAATCAGCCATCAAATTCGTTTTCTCATGTAGCTGTTCCAGTAGGGCATTTATTTTATAGAAAGCACACAACAGAGCTTCTGAATACATTGTCCTGAAGGTCAGATGACTATTCCCACGATTGTAATCTGTAACAGCTGCCAGCTCCCAGGAGTTGGTTACAGTTTCCCCCTAGAGGGAGACTGTGAAGTGGAAGGATCATTAGGCGCGAGTGATCATGCTCTTCTGAAGTTTACTATACAGCGGAAAGGAGCAGCCAAGCATACTAGGACTCAATTTCTTGACTTTAAGAAAGCCGACTTCATAAAACTTAGGGAAGTGCTGGGTGAGATCCCATGGACAGTAATACTAAAAGGAAAGGGAGTTCATGATGGCTGGGAGTTTGTTAAGAGGGAGATAGTAAAAGCACAACTTCAGGCAATACCAATGAGACGGAAACATGGAAGGTGCCTAAAGAAGCCAGGGTGGCTATCTAAAGAACTTTTAACTGAGTTAAGATTAAAAAGGATGTGTACAAAAAATGGAAAAGGGGGGAAACCACCAAAGAGGAATTCAAACAAATAGCCAGCACGTGTAGACACAAAGTCAGAAAAGCTAAAGCACAGAATGAACTCAGGCTTGCTAGAGAGGTTAAAAGCAACAAAAAGGCTTTTATGGGTATGTTCGTAGCAAAAGGAAGAACAAAGAAACAGTGGGGTCACTCAGAGGAGAAGATGGTGAAATGCAAACAGGGGACACAGAAAGGGCTGAACTCCTCAATGCCTTCTTTGCCTCAGTCTTCTCCGATAAAGAAAACAATGCCCGACCTGAAGAATTTGGAGCAAATGATTCAGCAGAGGAAACACAGCCCAGAATAACTAAGGAGATAGTACAAGAATACTTGGCTAGTTTAGATGTATTCAAGTCTCCAGGGCCAGATGAACTGCATCCAAGAGTATTAAAAGAACTGGCAGATGTGATCTCAGAACCACTGGCAGTCATCTTTGAGAATTCCTGGAGTACAGGCGAAGTCCCGGCAGACTGGAGGAGGGCAAATGTTGTCCCTATTTTCAAAAAGGGGAAAAGAGAGGACCCAAATAATTACCGCCCAGTCAGTCTGACATCAATACCAGGGAAGATTCTGGAGCAGATCATTAAGCAAACAGTCTGTGAGCACCTAGAAAGGAATGCTGTGATCACCAATAGTCAGCATGGATTTCTGAAAAATAAGTCATGTCAGACTAACCTGATCTCGTTTTTGGACAGAATTACAAGCCTGGTAGATGAAGGGAACGCAGTGGATGTAGCCTACCTTGATTTCAGCAAGGCATTTGACAAGGTGCCCCATGATATTCTTGTAAAGAAGCTGGTAAAATGCGGTCTTGACTATGCTACCACTCAGTGGATTTGTAACTGGCTGACTGACCGAACCCAAAGGGTGCTCATCAATGGTTCCTCTTCATCCTGGAGAAGAGTGACTAGTGGGGTGCCACAGGGTTCTGTCTTGGGCCAGGTCTTATTCAACATCTTTATCAACGACTTGGATGATGGACTCAAGGGCATCCTGATCAAATTTGCAGATGACACCAAACTGGGAGGGGTGGCTAACACCCCAGAGGACAGGATCACACTTCAAAACGACCTTGACAGATTAGAGAACTGGGCCAAAACAAACAAGATGAATTTTAACAGGGAGAAATGTAAAGTATTGCACTTGGGCAAAAAAAATGAGAGGCACAAATACAAGATGGGTGACACCTGGCTTGAGAGCAGTACATGTGAAAAGGATCTATGTTCAAATATATGTTCAAATATATAAAAGGATGTCATATAGAGGAGGGAGAAAGGTTGTTTTCTGCTGCTCCAGAGAAGCGGACACGGAGCAATGGATCCAAACTACAAGAAAGAAGATTCCACCTAAACATTAGGAAGAACTTCCTGACAGTAAGAGCTGTTTGACAGTGGAATTTGCTGCCAAGGAGTGTGGTGGAGTCTCCTTCTTTGGAGGTCTTTAAGCAGAGGCTTGACAACCATATGTCAGGAGTGCTCTGATGGTGTTTCCTGCTTGGCAGGGGGTTGGACTCGATGGCCCTTGTGGTCTATTCCAACTCTATGATTCTATGATTCTAAGAAGCTGGGGGAAACTGAAATGGATAGATTCACCCAACCCTACTGAAGGGCCACTGGCAGGTCACACAGCACCCCCGCCCCCCCCCCCCGCTGGCCGGCCTGCTGGCATGTCACTCAGACCTTCTATTTCAGCAGGGCTTGTTCTGGGGCTGCACGTGAGACAAAATCCAGATACAAGAGAGCTCCATCTGATAGGATCTCACCTTTTCCCCCATTCCAGTATTTATTTTATACAGACCGTTGAAAGTTGCAGCTGATCCTGCCTTTCTGCTGCATGTATTGCAGTAAAAATAAAAAATAAAAATGTAAGTCATGGAAATGTGCAAACGGGTTTCATGCTGATGACCCTTCTGCTTCAAAATTTGGTGACAGTGCAGCCTTTAGGCCAGGGTATTCCTGAAGTCAGAATTAATAAAATTCAGAGGCCTTGTTACCTATAAATTTGATACTGTCCTAGGGAGCTGATGGAGAGTTGGGAATAAGAGGCTGTGCTGCAGAGCAGGTCTGAAGATCACCTAAGCCATGAACTTCTTAGAAGGCCTCAAGCAACTGGGCCTCTCACTGAGAGCCAGTGTGGTGTAGTGGTTAAGAGCGGTAGTCTCGTAATCTGGGCAACCGGGTTTGAGTCTCCGCTCCTCCACATGCAGCTGCTGGGTGACCTTGGGCCAGTCACACTTCTTTGAAGTCTCTCAGCCCCACTCACCTCACAGAGTGTTTGTTGTGGGGGAGGAAGGGAAAGGAGAATGTTAGCCGCTTTGAGACTCCTGAAGGGAGTGAAAGGCGGGATATCAAATCCAAACTCTTCTTCTTCTTCTTCATTCTCCCCTCCCCAAAGCTTCAGTATGGGCGGGGCTGTTAATACTGATCTCCCTTAGGTAAAGGTAAAGGTAAAGCACCCCTGGATGGTTGTTGTTGTTGTTTAGTCGTTTAGTCGTGTCCGACTCTTCGTGACCCCATGGACCAGAGCACGCCAGGCACTCCTGTCTTCCACTGCCTCTCGCAGCCTGGCCAGACTCATGTTCGTAGCCTCGAGAACACTGTCCAACCATCTCGTCCTCTGTCGCCCCCTTCTCCTTGTGCCCTCAATCCTTCCCAACATCAGGGTCATTTCCAGGGAATCTTCTCTTCTCATGAGGTGGCCAAAGTCTTGGAGCCTCAGCTTCATGATCTGTCCTTCCAGTGAGCACTCAGGGCTGATTTCCTTAAGAATGGATGCGTTTGATCTTCTTGCAGTCCATGGGACTCTCAAGAGTCTCCTCCAGCACCATAATTCAAAAGCATCAATTCTTTGGCGATCAGCCTTCTTTATGGTCCAGCTCTCACTTCCATACATCACTACCGGGAAAACCATGGCTTTAACTATATGGACCTTTGTTGGCAGGGTGATGTCTCTGCTTTTTAAGATGTTGTCTAGGTTTGCCATCGCCTTTCTCCCAAGGAGCAGGCGTCTTTTAATTTCGTGACTGCTGTCACCATCTGCAGTTATCATGGAGCCCAAGAAGGTAAAATCTCTCACTGCTTCCATTTCTTCCCCTTCTATTTGCCAGGAGGTGATGGGCCCAGTGGCCATGATCTTAGTTTTTTTGATGTTGAGCTTCAGACCATATTTTGCGCTCTCCTCTGTCACCCTCATTAAAAGGTTCTTTAATTCCTCCTCACTTTCTGCCATCAAGGTTGTGTAATCTGCATATCTGAGGTTGTTGATATTTCTTCCGGCGATCTTAATTCCGTCTTGGGATTCATCCAGCCCAGCCTTTCGCACGATGAATTCTGCATATAAGTTAAATGAGCAGGGAGACAATATACAGCCTTGTCGTACTCCTTTCCCAATTTTGAACCAATCAGTTGTTCCATATCCAGTTCTAGCTGTAGCTTCTTGTCCCACATAGAGATTTCTCAGGAGACAGATGAGGTGATCAGGCACTCCCATTTCTTTAAGAACTTGCCATAGTTTGCTGTGGTCGACACAGTCAAAGGCTTTTGCATAGTCAATGAAGCAGAAGTAGATGTCTTTCTGGAACTCTCTAGCTTTCTCCATAATCCAGCGCATGTTTGCAATTTGGTCTCTGGTTCCTCTGCCCCTTCGAAATCCAGCTTGCACTTCTGGGAGTTCTTGGTCCACATACTGCTTAAGCCTGCCTTGTAGAATTTTAAGCATAACCTTGCTAGCGTGTGAAATGAGTGCAATTGTGCGGTAGTTGGAGCATTCTTTGGCACTGCCCTTCTTTGGGATTGGGATGTAGACTGATCTTCTCCAGTCCTCTGGCCACTGCTGAGTTTTCCAAATTTGCTGGCATATTGAGTATAGCACCTTAACAGCATCATCGTTTAACATTTTAAATAGTTCAGTTGGAATATCATCACTTCCACTGGCCTTGTTATTAGCAGTGCTTTCTAAGGCCCATTTGACTTCACTCTCCAAGATGTCTGGCTCAAGGTCAGCAACCACACTACCTGGGGTGTACGAGCCATCCATATCTTTCTGGTATAATTCCTCTGTGTATTGTTGCCACCTCCTCTTGATGTCTTCTGCTTCTGTTAGGTCCTTTCCATTTTTGTCTTTTATTATGGTAATCTTTGTACAAAATGTTCCTTTCATATCTCCAATTTTCTTGAACAGATCTCTGGTTTCCCCCATTCTATTGTTTTCCTCTATTTCTTTGCATTGCTCATTTAAGAAGGCCTTCTTGTCTCTCCTTGCTATTTTTTGGAATTCTGCATTCAATTTCCTGTATCTTTCACTATCTCCCTCGCATTTTGCTTGCCTTCTCTCCCCCACTATTTGTAAGGCCTCGTTGGACAGCCGCTTTGCTTTCTTGCATTTCCTTTTCATTGGGATGGTTTTCGTTGCTGCCTCCTGTATAATGTTACGAGCCTCCATCCATAGTTCTTCAGGCACTCTGTCCACCAAATCTAAATCCTTAAACCTGTTCCTCACTGTGTATTCATAAGGGATTTGACTTAGATTGTATCTTACCGGCCCAGTAGTTTTTCCTACTTTCTTCAGTTTAAGCTTGAATTTTGCTATAAGAAGCTGCTGATCTGAGCCACAGTCAGCTCCAGGTCTTGTTTTTGCTGACTGTATAGAGCTTCTCCATCTTTGGCTGCAGAGAATATAATCAATCTGATTTCGATGCTGCCCATCTGGTGATGTCCATGTGTAGAGTCGTCTCTTGTGTTGTTGGAAAGGAGTGTTTGTGATGACCAGCTTGTTCTCTTGGCAGAACTCTATTAGCCTTTGCCCTGCTTCATTTTGAACTCCAAGGCCAAACTTGCCAGTTGTTCCTTTTGTCTCTTGACTCCCTACTTTAGCATTCCAATCCCCTATAATGAGAAGAACATCCTTCTTTGGTGTCACTTCTATAAGGTGTTGTAAGTCTTCATAGAATTGGCCAATTTCAGTTTCTTCAGCACCAGTGGTTGGTGCATAAACTTGGATTACTGTGATGTTAAAAGGTCTGCCTTGGATTCGTATCGAGATCATTCTATCATTTTTGAGATTGCATCCCAGTACAGCTCCCGCCACTCTTTTGTTGACTATGATGACCTGGATGGTTAAGTCCAGTCAAAGGCAACTATGGGATCATAGAATCATAGAAGAGTTGGAAGAGACCACAAGGGCCATCGAGTCCAACCCCCTGCCAAGCAGGAAGCAATGCAGCGCTCATCTCACTTTCAGGCCAAGGGAGCCAGTGTTTGTCCAGAGACAGCTTTCCAGGTCATGTGGCCAGCATGATTAAACCGCTTCTGGCACAGCGGGTCACAGTGACAGAAGCCAAAGTGCACGGAAACTTCATTTACCTTCCCGCCGCAGTGGTACCTATTTATCTACTTGCACTGCTAGGTTGGCAGGAACTGGGACAGAGTAACAGGAGCTCACCCCTTTTCAGGGATTCAAACCACCAAGAAAGCTCAGTGGTTTAGACCATAACACCACCCGTGTCCCTGATCTGCCTTAAAGAGTTGTTCTGATAATCCTTGTACACATAGACAGGCAAAGTTGGGGCACTCTTGCCTGCAAAATGTAGCATGAAAGTGTAGAACTTTTCTCTTTACGTCCTGTAATTTCATTTTTTTCACTCCCGATGGGTGAAGCTTTGGGGAAACTTCCCTCCACACCATGGATAAGGCTCCAATCCCATTCACACTAACCTGGGCACCTCACTTTGCCCCCCACCCCCCGTGGCACTCCAAGAGAATAGACAGAGGAGATGTGATGCTGCCATCTTTGCAAATCCCTAGACAGGAGACCAAGGGTACTTTTTAATATGCATTTGTGATTATTTGTGCTCTTGGTGGAGTTCAGGGGGGAGGATACAGGATCCCACTTTCAGTACTGTTTGTGCTTGCATTAGTTTCAGGGCAGAGATAATACTTCCAAGTCAGTGCATGTTCCATAATTTCCTGTGGAATCCTGTAACTTTTTATTCTGCAATGTTCTGCTTTATTTTTGTGTGTGTGCGCGCTATAGCACTAGTAGCGCCCCTCCAGAGAGCAGTAAAGCAATCATGTTTGGGAAGCATCACAGAACAATTGATAAAGCAGAAGGATGTGTGAACAGTCCAGTGTAAATCCACTGCTAGTCCACTATTGTTGCACCAGCGCCAGGTTGCAGAAGGCACTGCCTGCCTGCCCCCAAACCCACCCCAGTCTGGAGGGTCCTTAAGAGAAGTGCAGAAGAAAAATAAAGGGGTCTGTTGGGGGCTTAGACACAAAGGTCTGTTGGGCGACCAACACATTGCCCCTCTTTGTCCTTAAATACAGAGTTTGGCATCTAAGCATTATGTCAGACCCTCCTGAATCACAGGCCAGCTCCTTCCTGTTTTGTGGCCTCCAGATTCTTACAACCTGCTTTTTATGCACAAGCTGTTGTCAGCCTGCGCTGGGGGGGTTGTCCTAGGAAGCACAGTGTCATTTGGTTTTCGTCACCCTCCTAGAGCTTCCCCTTGCTTTAAAATGCTTTGGGTGTCAATGTGATGATTGTGAAGTATGGTTGCACTGCCTTAAAAAAAAGGAAACTTCAGAGTTTTTTCATTATTAGTATTACTCATGATGAGTGATGGGGCTGAATTTGTACAAAGAAAGGATGACACAGTTGCCTGGCACTTCCCACTTCCTCAAATGGTGAGAGGTTTTACGGCACAGCCTTTTTCAGCGTCCGTTTCCTGCACGGAAGACTTGTGGCATTTTCATAATATCTATTTATTTACAAATGCGCAAGTTTTCTTTATGTGCATCTGTGTTTGAGTGGGGAGGGTGCCAAGAAGCAAGCAGGCATCCAGACAGCCCATTGTAACAGCCAAATTATCAGTTCCTCAAAAGCAACAGCTTCCTTTTTTCAGCCACCTGCAAACCTCCAATTTTCTCTCTCTGTCGCAGCTGAACCCCTTCTGCCTCTGCTTGGGGCCCCTCCAGACATCCTTGTTATTGCACCTTTGTGATGATTTGTGCTCATGATGCTTTTGGGGCAGCCACATGCCATCGCATGTTTCCATGCCATTTCCAATGCTGTTTGTGTCTGCAAATGTATCGGGGGGGTCACATGGCTTCAGGCCAAATGTCAGGGAGTGGGCAGAGGAGGAATGGTGCAGACCACCTCCCCAGTCTGACCCTTCCAGAGAAGAGGAAGACAGTTCAGGATTACAACAGGGGGTTGAGAGAGAGGCAGATGAGGGGAAAAGCTGGGAAATAATGGCAGAGGAGGAGGAGGAAGCACCAGGGGGCTGACAGTCTTTAGAAAGCATTCCAGACCCCCCCCCCCGAAGAGCTCAAAGACAGAGGGCACTTAGCGACATCCGTAGAGGAGGTGATGAGGATGACGAATGAGGAAGTGGAGAGTCACTTGGGACAACGCCACTATCCAAGAGGCTGCGTTCTAAAGCCTCTCTCTGTAAATACTGAATAAAAAGCGGACGGTGAGAACATTCCTCGTCTTTGTACGTTCCTGGGCCATGGGAGTTGCTGGCAGCCGCCTGACACCAAACCAGTGTATATCCCATAACTTCTCAAGAAATTGCCATATCTTTTTATACCACAAATGTTCTGGTTTATTCCCCCACAGACATTTGTTGCACCACATCTCTTCTGGACAGCAATAATATGGTAGCCTTGGGGGAGCATTGCAGAACCCTCACTAAAGTGGAATGAATCCACCACTCGCGCACTATGACTATTTCAGGGGCATGGTGCAGAAGACACTCGCAATGAAGGACCCATCTGGAGGGGCCCTTAGGCAGGTGGAGTAGCTACCAGCCCCTATAACACCTTCGGTTATCAGGCTATGCAGAAACTACAGAGAGAAGATTGTCTCTGTGCTTGGCAAGACAAAAGTCCTTCTCCCATAATTAACACAGAAGCACACAAAGCAAAATAATCCATCCTCTTTTAGAGCAAAGGATGAGTATCTGGTGGTGAGATCTCAGTCTCCATGGATCTTTGCAATGCTGCCTCCAAATTTTGGGAGACGTTAGGCAAGGCATCCTCAGTGGGCCCTCTTCGCTTGCAAAAGATGGGACACGTTACATCGCAATGTTCTTATACACTGTCTGCCCTTATTTGGGTACAAGACAGGGCCAGGTCTTGCCCAACCTAGGCACCCTTTGGAGCCAGGCTTGCATATTCAGGACCTGATAAGATAGGGAGACTCCCACACACACCCCACTTCAAATGCATGGAGTGCTGTAAACACCTACGCCAGAGCCAGTACAGGAAAGACGTCAAGAAGTACAGATAACTCCCTCATTCTTGTATGCATTCCTTAGGATCTCTAAGATCTTTTACTTGGTCATCTTCCTCCTTCCTTCCTTTTGCAATGGAGATCAGCTCTTACTCTCATCTCCAGCCTTTCTCTCCACTGACTCCTTTCCTCTCTGTCAGCATCTTTCCTGAACCACAAGGTCCCCGGACTGGAACACACCGCTCTGAGTGAGGCCTTAAAGTTGTGCTGCGATTATTAAAGCAGCTCCACACCATATTCAGGAATAGCTTTGGGGGTGGGGGTGTCCCAAAGCAAGCACATAAAGCTAGGGTGGGGAAGGACCCATGGACCTCCAGAGAAGTTGGTAGGCTATAGCTCCCATTGTCCCTGCCCACTGGCCATTCTGGCTTGGACTGATAGGGGTTGTTGTCCCACAACACCTGGGGGGCCACAGGTTCCCTGCTGTTCCTAAAACAGCAATGCAGTGGGGTGGGGACCTCTTTAGGCAGCCACTTCTGAAGCATGGCATCAAGATTTCTCTTTGCTGGACTGCCATTCCATACTTTGCATCCTTACAATTGCCAGGAACAAAAGCCACCAAGATCTGCACCAGCTGCAATAAAACATGTCTCTTCTGTTTCGGTCTCCCATTGGAGAATGGCTTGACTTTTCCTGCAACGGTGCACTCTTCCACTGTCTCTTGAGACAGACAGATGCCAACAATAACAAAAGTGGCTTCCTAGACAGACAGACAGACAGACAGAGGCTGTAAATCTGGTGTGGGGAACCTCTAGTCCTCTGGATATTGCTGAACTGCAACTCCCATCAGCCCGGCAAGCAGGAATTATGGGAGCTGTAGTTCAGCAACCTTTGGAGGCCCAAAGGTTCCCCTCATCTGCTGTAAATCTTCCTTGGGCAGACTGTTACCTAAAGTTTTTGTCCCTAACTTGGAGCTGATTTTTGCATGTGTGTTCATCACTAGACAACCACCACATCAAGTGATAACTCATATGGGTAAAAAAATCCAACCTGGGAGAAGTTTTGTATCACCTGACTCTGTCTTTTCCAGTGGAAATAGCTCACACATTCAGGCTCCAAATCCTATACCCACGTACCTGGGAGTAAGACCTACTGAACTTCTGAACAGATTGCGCTGTCAGCTTGCCAGTTGCCAATGTTCAGAAATCAAACAACATGTACTGATGCATAGACTGGACCTTACATTGGTGCATTTGGTTCTGCTGTTTTTTGTGAGGCATCCTTACTAAACTGCATTTTGTTGTAATCTTTGAATGACATTTTCACCACCTTCTCTGTAACGTTTGCAGTCCCTTGTTTCGTGTCAGCCTGTGAATTCACATTTATCATTGAGCAGTACTCACCCCTGCAGACTGCTGTCCTGTGGCTAAATGTGCTGATCACCACCCCTTTTCTGACTTGTCTTTCCAGCTCACAACCTCCAAGTACCCAGTGGTGGTGAAGATGGGACATGCTCATTCCGGAATGGGCAAGGTGAGTGGTATAACTTCTCTCCCAAGAGGCGCGAGAATGCAGCCCAGCTCAGTGCCCTTTGGTGGGACGCCTCAAGTGGGCTGATTTATCAGCTGCCCCATTCTGGAAGGAGAGTTGTGTTTTCTTTCGTTTTCCAAGGCATTATGTGTATTGCACAATTAGGGTGACTTGCACTTCAGATGCTATCAGGACAGTCACATGTGAATCCACTTTCAGTTTGTGCCTGCCTAAGTTTAGGGTGCAGTCACTCTACATCATTTCCAATCCGTGCCCAACCTGTAACTTCCTGCTGAAACTACACAACTTTTTATACCACAAATGTTCTGGTTTATTTTTGTCCCGCTTTCATTCAGCACACAGCAATAATGTGTTAGTGTTGTGGAAGCATTTCAGAACGCGTGAAAAAAATCCACCACAAATGCGCTATTACTGTGTCAAGAACATGTTAGAGAACACACCTCAAGCTGAGCTCCTGTCTGATGGGCCACCTTGGTGAAGTGGCTTCTCTCCCCTCTTGCTTACCTCTTGAATTTCGATGCTCCAGGCAGCTCTTTGTACTGCCGACTAGACTGGGCCAGCCTTGCTTGGAATGCAAAGGCCACCATCACCCAGACAAGAGAGCTGTTCAGCTCCTCCTTTGCACTTCCTTCCAAAAGTGCTTTCTCTCCAAAGCATTGCATGGCAGAAGCAGACACCCCTGAAACGATGGCACCTCGTATAATTCCCTAGTTTGGGGTCCCCAAGGGCTCTCTTTCCCAGGTTAGTAGGAGAAGGGAGTGCAGCTGAGCAGGAATCCACTCTCTTTCCTTGAACCCCTCCCAGTATGAGTCTGTCCTCTTAGCAACATTTTGTAGTTGCTGCCTCTTTCAACATCATTGCCCTGCAACTCACAGGGAACTCTGCTTTTTAAAGGCTGGAAGCAGAGGTTGCTCTTAGATGACCTGCTTATTCGTCCTGATTTGCTTGCAGGGAGATTGGACAACATGTATTTGCTCTAGAATTACTAGTACGATCCAAGGAATGGTGGGAGCGACCAAAGGAACCTTAACCAATTTGATGAGCCATTTGCAGTTGCACAGTAACACTTGTATGCACTGGGCATGTGTGCTTGATCTTTTAATCAGCATTTGTTTGCAGGGAGGTTTTCCTTCATTCTGATTTGTTTTGCTACACTTTCCAGCCTTTGCCTTATTGCAAAAAGTCTGATCTTTTGGGGAAGCAAGTTTGTTGCGCTCAGTCAGCTACATTTCTGTAACCCAAATTTGCTGGCATGCAGTTGAATCCCACTTGGAAATAGCAACAGCCTGGAAGTGCCTGGATGAACAGTCTAGAAAAGAGTTGGATCTCGTTTGAGACAGGCTTTGCTTCGCATGGGGTCCATCTGCACACCCATTGCCACTCTTTTGTCCATGGCCACTTCTGGCCAAGCAGTTTAAAAAATATTGCTGCCTTGCAGGGGTTGGACGAGATGACCCTCAGGGTCCCGTCCAACTCTACCATTCTATGAAATCCTGTTGGCCTGAGGGCAAAAGTGGGGTGAGCATGAAGACACATCAGGCCTAGTGATCCCTCTTTCAAACCACCTCCAACTTAAAATAATAAAACAAAATTTGCCTCTGGCGCTTGGGAGAATGGGCCACGCCCACCTTTTGATTTCCTCTAATTCTTTGGATGAAGGAAGCTTGTGGAAAAGTGACCGCAAGTGGCTGTTGTGTGTGTGCAAGTTGAGGACAGGTTTTTAAAGGGGCAGAACCCCAGGAGCCGCTCACTGTTTGGGGAGTGGGCTTTGCTTGTGTGGGGCGCAATGAGGCAAGGGGATGCTTCTGTGTGTTTGCTTACAGGTCAAGGTGGAGAACCAGTATGACTTCCAAGACATTGCCAGTGTGGTGGCCCTCACCAAAACCTACGCCACTTCAGAGCCCTTTATTGATGCCAAATATGACGTCCGCATCCAGAAGATTGGCAACAACTACAAGGCCTACATGTGAGCTTAGGGCTGGGGCTGCTGCTGCTTGCCTTTCTCTGCACCCTTGGAGATGCTGCCCCGTGATTCCCGCTCCCCCCCCCCCCGCTTGCCTTCTCAGTGCTGGAGTATAGAGAGGGTGTGATGCACTCCATCAACCAGGACAGACAGGTGCCCACAGTGATCCCTCTGTGGCATGTCACGAGTCAGTGGAGGTGCTGCTGGGCATTCTTCCGTATTCCTGTGGGTGGAGAAACAAAACCATTTCTCCCTACAGTCATTGCCTTGTCCCTTTGCCTCCCTGCTACTATCAAGTCTTTCTCTGCAACCTTCCTGACGCTAACAGTGCCTTCTCTCCCATGGCAGGAGAACCTCAGTCTCGGGGAACTGGAAAACCAACACAGGCTCTGCCATGTTGGAGCAAATAGCCATGTCGGACAGGTAAGTGGCAAAGCATCAGAGATGGGGCTCTGATTTGGGTGGAAATGACTGGGAACAATTTTTGCCCAAAGATGGAAACTTACTGGAAGAATGAGAAACTAAGACAGTAAACTTTTTAATACAGAGTAGAAATCATTTATTGAATATTTGCAAAATTATTGTAAACAGATTAAATCATGAGCAGGATTGATGTAAAAACGTGCAGTGGTATAAAATACATATTGATTACAGTGGTACCTCGGGTTAAGAACTTAATTCATTCTGGAGGTCTGTTCTTAACCTGAAGCACCACTTTAGCTAATGGGGCCTCCTGCTGCTGCGCCGCCGAAGCACGATTTCTGTTCTCATCCTGAAGCAAAGTTCTTAACCCGAGGTAATATTTCTGGGTTAGCGGAGTCTGTAACCTGAAGCGTATGTAACCCGAGTTACCACTGTATATGGGATAAAGAAGAATTTGGTTCAATTTGGAAATGCAGCGTAAGTATTATAACCCTAGGGAACTGCAGAAAGAGGGGGAGGGAAGTCAAAACATGCTATATATAATAATTTGTATTTTTGTCTTTATTTGTTCTTTGCAAAATGAAAATCATAAATAAAATTATATTAAAAACGAAAATGACTGGGAACTGAAGGGGAGTGGATTACATCCAGGGTCTGGCAAAGAGGAGGGCTTCCTGCCTAAAAATTGCCAGAGCTAAAGGTAATGAGGCAGAGGCTCTCACTTGCTCCCCCTCATGGGCTCAGAGTCACCGCTGCTCTCTTCCCCTCCCCGACCCCCGGATTCACCAACAGGTACAAGCTGTGGGTGGACACTTGCTCAGAAATCTTTGGTGGTTTGGACATCTGTGCTGTGGAGGCTCTGCATGGGAAAGACGGACGGGACCATATAATCGAGGTGAGGCGCTGGGCACATGGGCACCTGCACCTACCTGTGCGTGGTTCTCGCCCCCACTTGCCCTAAATATGAATCAGCTTGCAAATTGCTTTTTAAAGGAAGCCTCTTGATTAATTGAAGACTTTTGAGTGAGCAATCTACCTTTTGTCTGTTATTTGTAACCAACACAAATGAACTTCAGACCTTTAGTGTGTAGGCCTTACCAGAGATCCAGGGTGGCATTGTGGATAGGCTGCCACAGACCATAGAATCGTAGAATTGTAGAGTTGGGAGGGACCCTGAGGGTCATCTAGTCCAACCCCCTGCAATGCCGGATTTGTTTGGCCAACATGGGGCTCAAACCCATGACCCTGAGATGAAGAGCCTCGTGCTCTGCCGGCTGAAAGGCCCTGCTCCAAATCCCTGCTCAGCTGCGAAGCTCGGCTGTGGCCTCAGGCCTATTCCTGCCTTTACCGGACCTCATAAGGTTGTTGTGAGTTAAAGGAGGGTGGCTCCACGCAGCCTGGCCTGAGCTCCGCAGATGTTGCCTGGGATAAAACGGCAACCCCTAAAATGCATGTTTTGGAGATATTAACTACTCACAGTTTGAAACTACCATTCATTCTTAGAATGAAAGACCTTTTTTGTTCTTCATTTGCTATTGCATAAACACACAAAATAGCTCCCCATAGACTAAGATGTCCTTAATTTGCTGCCTGCCCCCCAAAAAATTTATTTTATGTTAAAAATGCATTCATTGAATAAAATGGGACCACACAAATGAAAGCTTGAGCTATTTAATCTGCTGATTAAATCTATTGAAGGTAGCAGGTCTTGTTTTTTACCCCATGTGGTTAAACCTGTGCTTAATGTGCTGTCCTGCTTTGGAGAGCTCTGCTGCACATTGAGAAAACCCATTCAGCTGCCCAGTCCATTGGATGCCATTGCAGCCGCATCCATCCTTGAGAATGACAAGAGTTGGTGTGTCCCTCGCTCTGCCCCACACTGCCTCTCCCATGTGCCTTCAGGTCCGGGGGGGGGGGGGGGCACTTGCGCCCTCTAAAGGCGACAAAGTGCTAAAAGTCAGCGGGGCCACAGTGGATCCCAGCCAGCGACTTCTTGGCTTCCTGGATCAGGCTGCATTTTTGAGTCACCACCCGTTGCCTCATGCGGTTCTGTTAATACTACTGCTTAGCGCTTTTATACATATTTTCTCAGTAATCCTTTCCTCAAATATCCTGTAATGTGGCTTATCATCACGATCTCCAGACTTGGAGGGAGGGATAGTGTGTGGCAAGGCCCCCTCAGATGCGTGATTTGAACTGGGAACCTTTTATTTTCAGCACAGCCTCTTTGCTACTGTGCCATGCTAAGCCTGGCTGTATTTGGCATCCCTCTTATTTCTTATTTCCTGATTGTCTCCATCTACATGTTTGGCTTTGAGCCTTAGGAAACCCCATTGTCTGTGTGCTGGGTGTATCTTACATAACTAATTTAAAACAGGGGTGGGGAGCCTGTACTATTGGACTCCAGATCCCATCAGCTCCAACCCAACATGGCCCATGGTGAGGAATGATGGGAGTTGTAGTCCAGCAATGCCTGGAGGGATGCAGGTTCCCCACCCCTGACCTTTTGCAAAAGACCCTCCTGCTTCCCCACTCAGCCTGATTTGGGAAAGGAGATCACCACCTGCTCTTTCTCCTTCTTATCTCAGGTTGTGGGATCCTCCATGCCGTTAATTGGAGACCACCAGGATGAAGACAAGCACCTGATAGTGGAGCTGGTGCTGACACGCATGGCACAGGCCATCCCTCGCACACCTGTGCCCTCGCCTGTGCGCTCGGCCTCAGGACAACATGCCCAGGTATTGCACCTCCTTTCTCTTCCCCTTTACGCTCCCCGAGATGAGGCTTTCACTGCACAATCCCCAGGCATCTCTTACCAGAAGTAACTTTCATGAACTTCTGCAGAGTTGCTTTTAGGTGAAGTGGGGATAGGATTGCAGCTTTCACCTCATCACCACAACTGTGTGTGTCCGTATATGGAATGATTATTCATCACTTCCTCAAAAGCAAAGGAGAAGGGACCACAGGCAGAGAGATGGAAGAGCAGGGGACTGTGCGGAAGTGTGTGTTCACTCATGGCTGTGTTTACCTTAGGGCTCTGGCCTGGAGTCTCTGTGTTGTAGCTCCGTGGAACAGCCCAGTGCATGTGCCACTGCTTGCAAGGCCCCTGACATCTTCCCAAGTCAAAAGGTTGCTGGGTCAGGATGACGTGGCGCTCAGGATATGGAGACCCCAGAGACGCGTTGCCAGTCAGAGCTGACATTCACAGTCACAAACTGTCCTGCTGGATCTGACCAAGAGTCCACCTGGCCCAGTGTCCTGATTCCAGCCTTGGACAGCCAGATGCCTCGGGGAAGCTTACAAGTGGAGTCAGAAGCAGCATCCCCAGCACCTGGTATCCAGAGCTCATAGCTACCTCCAGAGGTTCTGTCAATGCACGGTGGCTCCTTGCTACTGGCAAACCTGTTTGCCTCTTCAAGTCCTCTCAGCTAGTCATTGGGTGTCTGCACACACACAGCATGAGCATGTGCATTTGGCACTCAATGCAGGTGCCTTTTGGGGGTGCTGTACACATCATCCCTTCATCACCCCATTCCCCCGCTATTTTGCTTTGCGCCAAGAATGCACTTCTCAAGCGCTTCCTGCCTATGTAAGCCCACCCAGAGAGAGCGCTTTCTCAGGGCGCCTCCAGCTGGGACAGAACTACTGATGCTGGAGGGCTGCGCAGCTCCCCGCACCATGTTTAACTTGTCTGTGAATGAAATAGGCAAAGCAGGAAGTGGTAAACTTATCTGCCTCTGTATACTGAAAAATATCCTCGGTGCATCGGGAAAGCAACGCTTTCAAAAGACTGGGAGTTTGTTTGTTTGTTTTTGTTTTAAAAAACAAGGTGTGTGGAAACACTAAACAAGAGGAGGGGAATAGAGCGCACTGTTGCACACTAGTTGGAAATATGCCCACCTTTGTGTGCAGACAACATGGAAGTCACTGTTGCTTTAGATAACGTTATCGCACACAGGAGTGCACAACTGCAAACTGCTGTGTTCAATAGTGCTATGTGAAGAAACAAAAGTCCTGTGCTTTTCAAAGGTTAGGTGTGTAGACAACCTTTGTCACCCTATTGAGTGAGGGGGACTCAAGTAGCTGAGAAGCACTGCTTGGCTGCAGGATGGGGGCGCTGGCGTGGAGACCACCAGATGCTGATGGACTCTAGCTCTTCTCGGCCCCAGTCTTCATGCCCAATGGTTGGGGACGAGGCAGTTGTGGTCTTCACAACTGGAGAGCACCTGGTTCCTCCATTCCTGCTGTAAACCCTTCCCTGGCTGAGCCATGTGGCCCCTCAGGCTCAGTGGAGTGCCTTAAGTTCTGCTATTAGGAGAAGTGGAGAAAACCACGTCTTCCTCTCTGACTCTCCTCCACACATTGTGACCAACAAGTAGATGGTTGCTCCACCTCAGTCTTTCCCAACTTGGTGCTCTCCAGATGTTGCCCAGCATCAGCCAGCGTGGCCAGGGTTCAAGGGCATTGGGAGGTGTAGTCCCAACAACGTTGGGCAGGCAAAGGGCAGTGCTGTGGCACCATTCTGGGGAGAGGCTGTTCTGACTCCATAGAAGAGCAGCTTCTTCATATTTTACAAAAACAAGAGAGGGGAAAGGTGTCTCCCTTGGCTCTTTCCCTGATTATGGGATGTTCTGTGTTCTGCTCCACTTGATGATGGGGGCCTACCCAGGAGATCCAATGGAGCAGAAGTCCCATGGGACCCACCTGCCCATGTCTCTTCTCTTGGTGTGCTTGGTCAGGTGGGCATCCCCAGACGGTGCTGGGCGTGAGCAGCCCCATGGGCATGCTAGGGAAGGATTCACAGCCAGGAACAAGACTAAGACCACAGTGGCAGTGGTGGGAGCTGTCATCTTCACAATGTTGGGAGGCCATCAGGCTCCTCCAGCCCTGCTTGAGAAGCTTGCCTCTGTTGGGCAGGTGATGATTGGCAAAACACACATGGAGAATGGCACCAGCTGGGCCAGAAGGTATGGAAATGTCCAGCCTCTGAGAGAAGAAGATGGGAGTGTGGTTCTGACCATTCCCTGCCATTAATCTTTCACTTTGGTTCTGTCCTCAGGCTCAGCCAGCTCCAGCTGGGCAGCGACAAGGCCCTCCAGCCCAGCAGAGACCCGCACCACAGGGTAAGGACCCAACATCAAGAAGGCCAGGGAACTGGGGCTCACACAAGGGTGCAGAAGGGCCCATAAGTCTGGAGCTGGGGGGAGAGGCTTAGAATCCTAGAATCGTAGAGCTGGAGGGACTCCGGGGCTCGTCTCATCCAACCCCCTGCAAGAACCCACCACCTCCCCAGGGAGTCTCCTTCACTTGGGAACTTGTGGGCTCTCCTTACCAGAAGCCTTCTGTGTGTGCGTAATCACTGGGTTGGGATTTCTGAGGACCCATTTCAGTCATGACAGGTTTCTTCTCTCTCCTTCTCTCTCCTGCCAGGAGGCCCGCAGCACCCGCCTCCGGGCTCCCAGCGCCCTCCTTCTCAGCAGCGCCCTCCCCCACAAGGCCAGCAGCTCTCGGGCCTCTCCCCTCAGCCAGGGGGCCCCCCAATGGGCCAGCGCCTGCCCAGCCCCACCACCCACCAGCCTCCTCCGCAGGCACAGCAGCGCCCGGCGGGGCAACGCCAGCCCGGCCCGGGGGCCCAGCAGCCTCGCCAGCAGGGCCCACCATCCGCACCACAGTCCCCCCAGCCCCAGAGGGGTCCGAGCCCCAGTGGAGGCGGGCAGCAGCCGTGGCAACAAGGGTCCCCTCAGCAGCAGCAGCAGCAGCAGCAGCGGCCTGGGGGAGCAGGCCCACCCAAGGCAACCTCCGGGGGGGCCCCAGGGCCACAGCAGCAGCAGCCGCCGCCGCCACAACAGCGCCCCCCAGCGGCTGGAGGTCAACCACGGCAACATCCGCGGCAGGGCAGCCAGGGGGGCCCACCTCAGCAGCGCCCTCCGGGGGCAGGAGCACAGCAGCAGCGCCCGGCACCCCCCACAACCCAGCAGCCAAGGCCTAGCACTCAGGGGCAGGGCCCCGGGGGCCCCGGGCAACAAGGCGGCCGCCCTCCACCAAGCCAAGGCAAACCACAAGTGGCCCAGAAACCCAGCCAGGACCTGCCTCCCCCCCAGCCCCAGCTGAAGTAAGCGGTGGACTCCGGGGCTCCTTGGGGAGGGCGGGAGGGGCAGCTGGAAGCAGTCATGGCTCCTTGCCTGTGGTGCCGGCTTAGCTGGGGGGCAGCTGCGTGTGGTGACTTGGCAGGATGCTGGGGGGGGACAGTGGGGGCCAGCTTCTCAGGTGCTATGGGGCCTCAACAGAGCTGTGTGCACCTTGATGCCACCCTAATGCTGTGCAGAATGAGCTACGCAAAGTAAGTGCATTTGCATATAGCTGCAGAATAGTTTCTGCTTTTGCCCTCTTACCAATGAATCTGAAATTCCTGGGTGGAGGGAGGGAATTGCACAAAGATGAGAGAGAATGGAGTGGCGGGGGGGGGGCTGGGAATGAAAGCTCACTTGCCCACAGGAAGCCCTTCCCAGCTACCCTCTCACAAGCCTCCAGGGCTCCTGGGTCCAGCATTGCTCCAAGCTTTCCTTTGCTATCAGTGAGAGCAAGGAAGCGCCAGGTGGAAAGCCATCACACCCCTGAAACAGAACTGAGTTACTAGGTTCCCCTCTTCATGTAATCACCCTGTTAAAGAGCAACACTGCTTTCAAATAATGATTTGTTCAAAATGTAACATTTCAGAATTAACATTGTCCATGTTGAATTTCAGATTTTGCTTCTGAAAATCAGCTTTAGAAAGCCAAGTGCATACTCAGGCCTGATGGAGTTTTAAGCTGTGGTGTTTGCATTAGGTTAAGTTAAAACCAGGGTAGGTGGGTGCTTTTCATGAACACTTGAGCTGCGTGTGAAAAGGACGCCTCCAGCCCTCCACCCGAACTAAGGTGAAAGTGTTTGCCTGTTCAGAGTGAGGGAAGTACTGCCCTGGCTTTGTAATGACAATAGCTAAATTTGATTGGCTGTGAGGTGCCATCCATGGGCCTAGCTGGGGGGGGCAGCTGTCCCCCCTAAATCAAGCAAATAAATAAAAATACTTAACTGACCAATTGTGTCACAGATAACTCAGTTCTGCCCCTGCCCCAATAAATCCTGGGGGGTATGCCCGTGGTGTCATCACATAATCAGACTGTTACTTGACCCCAGGGATCACAAAAGATAAAAGAGGGTGAAGAGGCTGCTGGGACCAGGGCAGCAGACAAACCCAGAGAGCTGAGCACTTGGGGTTTCAGGGGACACCCCACCTCTCCACCCCCTCCAGCCTGACTTCCTGCCAAAAATGTTTCCTTGCACATTTAGTGCATCCCTTAACAAAGCCAGCAGGCCTGGGGCTTCCTCTCACGTTTCTAAAGGCAACAGGTTCTACCTGAAATTGGAAATGCTGCAAAAACACACACACCTTGACCTGGAGAACCCTTGCATCCGAATTAGAGGGATGCGCCTGAGAATTCACCTCCCTCGAAGGACTGCTCCGTTTCGCGGAGCCCGAGGCCATTCCCTGCTCTCTGCTTCCCCCTGCTGGACATGCCGGCCTTGGCCCTTGTAGTTTCGAGGGGGGGCGGGAGGGGCGGGGGGCGCAGAGAACTGCATTTCCCCCCCCTCCCCACGTGCCTCCTTCAGCGCGCGGTGCTTGTTCCCTTCACTCTCCCAGGGAGGAGGGGGGATGCTTCCCAAACGCAACCCCCCCCTCTGTCTCTCTCCCCGCCCCTCACCCCCCACCCTGCATTTCTTGAAGACGCAAGTTTCTCTTGCCTGGCCTGATATTAATAGTGTGTTTCTCATCTCTCCGCCTCTCCTCCCCCTTTCCCCCTCCCCTCTTTCCTGCCCCCCACCCCTCCCTCGCTGCCCCGTAGCAAATCCCAGTCTCTGACCAATACCTTCCCCCTTGCAGAGGCGCCGGTGCCGCGGGGGAGCCTTAGTCAGGACGAAGTGCGAGCTGAGAGCATCCGCAGCCTCCGACAGAGCTTCGCCAGCCTCTTCTCCGACTGAGAGACTCCCCCCTCCACGCTGGGACCCCGGACCCCCCCGCGCCCCCCGCCCCTCTCTCCCCTTCCTCGCTCCTGCAGCCCCCCCACCTCCCCCGCAGGAGCCGCAAGGGACGCACAAGCCCCTGCCATTTGTTCGTCTCGGGCCAGGGAGAATCGGGGGGGGCATGGGGGGAGCCAGCGAGGGAGCCCTTGGCAAGAGGGGGGCGCCTGGCTCCCTGGCGCAGGTGAGGCGGGAGCTCCTGGCCGCTCCGAAGTAGCGCCCGTGGCAGGAGCCAAACTGGCAGACCCCTGGGTACGTCTCTGGCTGGAAAGCCAGCCTGAAAGGTCACCATACCTGCCAGAATGGATCGGGGCCAAATTAATGGCAGGGCTTTCTGTGTCCAGTGATGCTTCTGACTGTGGAGTCATTTTTGAAAATAATTCTATACATCTCACAAGTCTATCGTCTGCAAAGCTGGATTCTGAAATATTTTCCCACCCCACCCTAAATCAATTTCAAGAGCTCCACTTTCCTGCAGAGGGAGCCTCCGATAAAAAAAATTGCCAATGTATCCCCCACCCAAACCCAATTTGTCCCAGCTCCCCGTTTCATAAAACCAATTCTCCGTATGCTTTGCTGCCTCCTCCCCATGAAGAGGAGCCCACCCCCACAATTAATGCTTCCCAGCACACACCCTGGCAGTGCGCATCTCCCTGCCTGCATTCCCTGGAGTCCTCCTTGAACCCAAGGCTGGAGATTTCTCAAGTCCACGTCTCTTCTAACATGAATATGCAAACTCTGCCCGGCTCTCTTCTCCTGGCCCCGATGCTGGTGGGGGGCGGGGGCGTCCCCAGAGCGGGGTCCATGGGAGAGGAGAGGGGTCTCCGGGGATCTCTGTACATAGCACGAGGGAGGGGACCCCTCCTGGGCCATGTCTGTGTTTGTGGCCACAAAGGTGTTTGTGTTGCTGTTTGTGAATAAGCCAACCTAGCGCCAATGCGCTCCCCTCCAACCCACCCAGTGTCCCTCTTGGTAGCTTCCCCAGCTGCCAACCACCACCACCTCGGCTACAGGTTCCCCCCCCCCCTTTCACACAGACCCCTTAGCGATTGGCAGCCTCCCCCCACCTTCCTTCCCTTGGGAACAGTATACTTGGCAAGCCTTAAACCCGGTTTACCTACCTACCCCTCTCTACCCCTAATTGCAGTGTTCCCATGACTGTTGTGGTTTGAGGTCCACTTGTTGCCAGGGAGCTTCCAGGCAGTGGGCAGGACCAGCCGTGCTCTCCCTTCTGGTCTGAGCTGCATGCTGGCCTATGCTCTGATCCACTACCCCTGTGGATCGGAGGGCCAGCTGGCCACCGATGGGGAGAGCGCGTCAAATCACAGCATGGTAGAGCTGGGCAGGCGCCAAGGGTCCTCTAGTCCAATTCCCTGCAATGCAGGATTCTCAGCTAGATCGTCCCTGACAGGTGGCCTTCCAAGGAAGGAGAGCCCACCACTTCTCACGGGAGTCCAGATGTTTAGTAGGTTTCTCCTCACTTCTAACTCGAACCCAGATTTGTTAACCCCACTCCCCGCCTGGCCGTAGTCCCTCATCCCCCCTCATGGATCCGACCTTCTCAGAGAACAGCCATACTACTGCCGCTGTAGCCAAGGGATGCTTTGCCATCTTGGGTCAGTGGCTGAAAGACAAGCACCCATTGGACATTTGAGGGGGCGTTTTATATTCAATGTTCAAAACCCAGAGCTTGATTCCTCCCACTCCCTATTTGTACATAAACTCAAGAGAGAAACTCCCCACTATATTTTTGTGATTCCCTTTTCCTCTAAAGTTGTGTCGCCTGCCCCCTGCCCCCCTTTGAAAAAACACAACAAAACACTGGGGCGGGGAGAGGGAATGCCACTCAACGCGTGATGGTCTGGTAGCTGCAAAGTCGCGTGTCGTAGACGTGTTGTGACATGACGCTTTGAGCTGTGTTTGCAACCTATTGCCAGGGTTGGGGAGGGAGAAGACTAAAGGGGTGTCCAGGCAGCCCCTGCGTAATGCACCCCTTTTCTCTCCCTCAACCTCTTCTCCCCAGGCAGATGCTCCTTCTTCCCCACTCAAGGAATCTGGGGAGGGCAATTTAAAGTGCTAACTTGTTATATCTTTGTTATTTATTCTTGTCTGGAAAGCGCATCCCCTTTCCCACACTCTTCCCATGGGGATAGAGGCCTTTCCTATTGCTGTGATTCTGTCTCTGTGTGGATCAAAGTTTCAATGGATCAGTGGTGTAAAAGACAAAAATAAATATATTATATAAATATAAAAAAACAAACACCCTCAAACCTGCTGAAAAAATGCACACATTTTGTGGCTGGAAAGAAACCAATAGAAAGATATATATAAATATATATATATATATATATTATGCAGAGAAAGAGAGTTATATATGTACCAAGATATTAAACTGGAGAAATGATAAGAAGAAATTTGTGTATTATTGGAGGTGTGGGACAAAGGGGCGAAAAGTACCTCTGGAATAAGAGATTCTGCCCTGTTTCCAGGGATGGCCCAAAGTGTTTTCAGTGACTGCAAATGGCACCCTCTGGTTGAAACCACCACACCATCCCACCTACCTGCAGGGATGCCTGTCCACAGTTGTGTTCACACGCCATGAGCCAGAGCTTTTGGCTTGCCCTGGTCTACTGGGAGCAAGCCGTGTGCTGCTGCCCCCTGGCCAATGGCTCCCACTCTGCTCCTTTCCTGGGGACCGCAGGATAAGCAGGTTGCCTTGAACTCCTGTTGCCTCCAAAACGGGGGCTGCAGCCTGTTTCTCCCCAACAAGCCACACTCGCTACTCAATCCAAAGCTACGTTTTGTTATGTGTGAATGGAGCCTGTGTATCTGTTCTGATAGTTAAAAAATGTTTTTTGAAAAAAATCCAAAACAGATTGGATGTGGGTTTTTAAAAAAATCAGTTATTGTGTCTCTGAAAAAACATAACCAGGCTTAAAATGAAATCTTGAGTTTAATACAAACATGTTAAAACCTTCACTTACAATCTTTTAAATCTGAATCATAAGCATTGATTAAACACATTACGTTAAAGTCTATCTATCTATTAAAAAGAAGATCGGGGGCAGGGAGAGATGTTCACAATTTGAGATATGAACATATTCTAGAGCTCAGGTAGCTGGGGGTTATAAAGCAAAAGTAGTTTCACCCACATGATAAATAGGATGGCTTTTCCTGTTGATTTTAGTCCCTGGCTGCAGGAAGAGGCCCACAATAAAACACAGGGCTTACTGTGCCATTTATTGTTCTTAAACTCCAAAGTCAGGTATTTGTAAGTCTCCTAACCCCAACAGCCCAGATGCTGACTTTCTACCCCGTGGAGAGGTGCTTTTTAGAAGTTCTGGGCAATGCTGGTGATTTGCAGCAATGGCCTGGATTAAAAACTTAAAAGTGAATCTGGTCCGCTGACTATCTACCCATCTGACCTCTCCTCTGCAACTGGTTTGCTGGCCCAGAGGGGAAAGAGATGCTCCAAGGGGGAGCCTCCCAGTCAGACCACTGGTCCAGCGATCTCCGGATTTCCCCCACTGACCGGCAGCAGCTCTCCAGGGTTTCAGGCAGCCCCACTTGGAAATGCTGGGGTTGAGCCTGTGACCTTGATATGCTCTGCCCCTGAGTCGTGGCCCCTTCCCCAAAGCGCTGAGGCTGCGGCTTGGGGAACCTGCAACCATTTGCCGAAAGGCAACCTCCGCCCTCCGTACAGCACCAGGCTGCATCAACCCCCTTCCCTGCTTGAGGGGTCCCTCAGTTCCTTTGGGGCATCGGTATCCACCTACGCTGTTTCCTGGCACCCCAGACTTTGAGCTGACCTCACAGCCACACGCCGAGGAAAGTCAGGAAGCCTGGGAGGAAAATGCTTCATGTTGAATGTGGGCACACAGAGGCAAACCACCATGGGCACAGCTATGGCATTCAATTCCCCCACTGCTTGGGGGTCGCTTTACAAAAGCACTTGGGCACCCTTTGGCACGGGGGGGGGGGGGACCGGTGGCCCTCTGGAATTTGTGACTGTGGGCCATGCTGGCTGGGACTGATTGGGAGCCCAAGAGCACCTGGGAGGACCAAGGTACCCACCCCCCCCCCACTTTAGAACCATAGAGTTAGAAGGCGGGACTCAAACCCTCAACCTTGAGATTCAGCCTCATGCTGTACCAGCTGAGCTATCCCAAAATCTGCCCCCCCTCCCTACATAGTTTCCTCTCATGACTTTCAGTACCCAGGCACTTCGTTTGCAAGTCAAAGGCAGAGGGAGATCGTTCTCAGGGGCTCCTCTGAAGAGATGGCACTCCTGGCTGCCAAAGCTGCAGCGTACCAGAGCTCTAGCCCTGCGCATGCCTGGGAAGCACAAGGCAGTGTCCACGTCACCCCTGCATTTATGGGGCTGATGTGCAGCTTTATGGGTAGATTGCCATGCAGAACAACCATCGCAACCCCATGTCCTTTGCTGCATGTACATGGGGGTGTGCACACAGGTGAGACAACTGGAAACCAGAGGGATGATGTGAGGAAGAGTGTGTCCACCTGAACTGTCAGAAGGGCTGCCATCCCACCTTCCTCTGAGTTCCAGGAGTCCTTGAGGTCTAGATACATGCCCCCTTTTGTGTAAAGGAAACTGACTCTCCACAAGCCAGCAGAACAGCAAGCCTCCTGTGATGCAGCTCAGATAGGCAGGTTGTGGTTTGGCAGGCCTGGACAGAGGGAGGAGGACATCATCCAGATAGGGCTTAGCCTTTTTTATTGCACCATCTCCAGCTCCTTTTCCACAGACCACCGTCCTTCTTTCACCCCTTCCATGCTTTTCCTCTCCTACTGAAGTTCCCAAGCAAACAAACAAATGACACCTACAACATCCTGGAAACAGGATAAGCCCCATAAAAGAATACACCTGGGGACAATGAAGCCAAAGTCATTGCAGAGCAGAGATGTTTCAATGTGTTTCCTGCTTTGGCGACCCCCTAGTAGGACTACAGGCTTTGGAGTGAGAGTGAAATCCAGGTGGACACCCCCAGCCCCAGCGTCTCTCTGCACACAGACCTGGGCGATACACCCGGATGCCAGGGATGCAGCTGCCCTCCGGGCACTGACGGCTGCTCTGCCCCCCAGGGAGGGCCGCGAGTTGCACACTGGCCTCGAGGGGGACGTGACCTTTGGTAGCAGTTCCAGTCTCGCCACGTTAGCTGTGGAGCCGCAAGGCAGCGGGGAAACAGAAGGAGGTCAGCTCTTCATTGTGACCCGCCCGGTGGAGGGTGGGCTCAGAGGCACTGCGCTCGATCTTGGGCAAAGAACGTTGGAGCGACTCAATGGAGGCCAAAATCTGGAAGAATGGGAAATGGAGATCAGACCAGAACTGTGCCCCGCCCCACCAGACACTACCTTAGCAAGCCCAGGTTCTGGACTGTGGAGGTTTAGGCCTAAATCAGCAGTGTGGGGAACTGCAGAGTGTCTCAGGGCCCATGCAGGTACTCGACTTTGGCATTTTGTTTTGTTGCAAGCACGTCTCTGGCCCTTATTGCTGCAATGGTGGTCTTCAAAGCAATGGGGTGTGAGCTGCATCCCTCTGAATGTTTTGGACTGGCTCCCATCAGCCCCAGTGAACCTGGCTGGTGGTCAGGGATGATGGGGTTGTAATTCAACACCTGCACAGCCAGAGACCTACCAGCCCTGCTTTAAACTTGTAGGCAACCTCAGATGACACCAACATGGCCACCTCAGGATTTGCTGTGTATGTTTGTGCTTCAATGCGAAGCTCCTTCCCACTTTTCATAACTAGCCAAAGCAGAATGACATTTGCAAACAAAAGTAGTACACGCAGATCTTAATTTGCCCAATTTGTATAGGAAACATGTCTGCATTTTGTAGTATTATTATTAAATGCAAACAAACGGAGGCTCTCCAAACTAAAAGCTAATCAAAGGAAGGAAGGAAGGAAGGAAGGAAGGAAGGAAGGAAGGAAGGAAGGAAGGAAGGAAGGAAGAAAGAAAGAGGTATGTGTGTCAGGAGCAGGTAAGGGTGCATCTGAGTACGTGCAAAGTTCCTTGCCATTTTCCTGGAGGATCCTTACCAGTACCTATATTTTCTGACTTGTGGTTCTAAAGCAGTTTGAACCTTAGGACTCTCTCTTTAAAACCACTATGTGTACTTTGTTGTTAAACAGATGTGCTGAGCGCACGCAGCAATTCTATGGGAGCCATAAAACATGGTGACGTTGGCTGAAGAATTAGTTCCTTGGGTTTAATACTTTTAAGTAAAGTTCCTTGAGGTTCTCAGAAGGTGGGATACAAATGTGACGATCTGTCAGTCAGCGCACACGTCCATGCCTGTATCTGCCTCAGACTCACCTGAGGAAAGAGGGGTCTCTCTTCACGCTTGAATTTAAGGCAGTCGCCCATCAGCCTGCGCATGGCCTTGGGGCAATTGCTGGGCACCTTGCTTAGGTCAGGGGACAGGTACCCCCGGCCAACCATGAATATAATCTGGAAGGAGGGAAATAAACCACCCATTACAAATAGAAAGGACCCTCTTGGGATACAAGGCCCCCCTTTCCCCCACCTCTTTAAGCCCAGTCAGAACCACCACCAGCTCTGGATAAACCTCTTCCCTTTGGGCGCGTTTGATTGGCCATCCTGAATAAGGAGTGAGACAAACCCGGGGAGAGTTTTGGGAGGGTTTCTTGGCCAGCCCCCCAAACACATATTCTGTCCTTACCTGGTCCCGGTTGTTGATGTGGCTGTAGGGGAGGGTCCCGGAGAGCAGCTCATAGAGAACAACTCCATAGGAGTAGACATCTGACTGGAAGCTGTAGGGGTTGGGGTCTTGCATTCGGATCACCTCAGGGGCCTGTGGGAGGCCCAGAGAGGGCGGGCATTAAAGTCTGCTGGGACGGGGTGGGGGGATACTGCTGCTTCACCCAACCCCTTTTCTCCTCTGGCTTCACAACTTCCCCCTGCCCCAATTCCAGCCAGAAGCAGCCCCCGCCCTTGGCAAAAGCTCACCATCCAAAGTATGGAGCCACTGGGCTGCTCCACCTGCTGCGAGCTGCTCCAGCGCGTCTTCACGGTGGCAAGGCCAAAGTCGCCGATCTTCACGGTCAAGCCTTCGTGCAGGAAGATGTCTGAGGGCAGTCGGGTGAAGGAGCGTCGCGTGGGATTCTGCCTAGCGGGACCTGCCGCTCCATTTACCCCAGAGCAGGGAGTGCTGAACTATCCTGCCCCCAAGCTCCATGCTGAAAACCTCCCTTTTACTAGCGGGGCACCTGCCTTTTTGGAAACACCCTCCAGCCATGCAGGCCAAACCAGCACAACCCCCGCTCCCCTGTCCACTGCAACACCCATCAGGGAGCCCCGTGGGGCAGCCAAACTCCCTGCCACAAAAGGCGAGGTGGAAGGGAAGGATACTGTTGGATTTGAGGTCCCGGTGGATTATGTTCTTAGCATGCAGGTAACTGGGAGAACGAGAGAGAGATGGAGTGAGATAGTTCATCAGCATCCTTGGCTTGCAAGCTCATTCGCAAGGGCACCACACCTGCTTCTCATGTGCCAGCATGCTCAGAGGGAGGGAGAACTGGAGCCATCGAGGGCTGTTCCCAAACAATGTATATTTTTCGTTTCCTTTATCTGGCTGCCCTAGTTCAGAATTCCTGATACCTCTCACTTGCCCGGGGGAGGATGCAGGGCACCCAGTGAGCGAGCAGAGAAATCTGCCTCTGGTACAAAGGTAAAGCCGACACCCCTTGCTCTGCCAGCTTTTGCCTCTGGCTCCACCCACTGTTGGCATTGCCCCAGAGGTTGCCCAGAGGGGCTGGTAAAAGTTCCCTGGCTGTAGACCCCTCTTGCAGCACAAATCCCGCATCAGGGCAAGGGTGCCTCTAGCCCGGATACCATGCAGGGCATGAAGGCAGCAGCCCTCTCTGCTGCACTCCAGAAGCCACCTGCCTCTGACTCGGGAACTTCCCCCGAGGGCCCCGGCCTGCACACTCACGCCATGCCCTGGGCCGTCTGCCGGGCCACGTCAATGCGCTGCACCATCTCCAGGGGGGTTTCTTGCACATGCAGGTGCTGGTACAGGCTGCTGCCTTCGCACCACTGGGTGATGATGGCAAAGCTGGGGCGGGTCATGAAGCCCATGAAGAGCAGGATGTTCACGTGGCGTGTCTTCCTGCAAGGAGAGGCCGGCGTCAGAGGCCTCCTGGCCAGCATCACTTCCCCTCCCCACAGGTCCCTGCTTACCTGAGCACCTGCATCTCGTTCTTGAAGGCCTGCACCTGCTCGCTGGTGGGGTTGGTGACCTTCAGGATCTTGACCGCCACATCCCCGTACCAGCGGCCCCGGAAGACAGTGCCAAATGACCCAGCGCCTATGCGCTTCAGCATTGTCACCTCAGTGTGGCAGACTTCCCAGTAATAGCTGGAGTCCCGGTAGCCCAGGGATTTCTGCAGGGAGGCAAAGGCAGGCCAGGGACAGGGAGAAAGAGGGTCAAGCCCTTCCACAAGGAGGCCCTGCTCCCCCGAGCCCCCTGACACACCAAAACCTCTCTGCCCCCGCAGCTTAGCCACACGTTTCCTGACAGCAGTGGTTCCCAAACTCTTTTCCCTCGGGCACACTTTCAGAATAAACATTTGATCACCCCACACTGATTTTTTTTTTATTGATTAGAAATACACGGGAAAACAAAAAGAAGCAACTCCTTGCACTGCTTGATTTATAACACAGAATTTATAACTCGGGGCATCCAGGAAGTATAAAGCAGTGCAAGTTGCAGAAGAACGTGAATCCTTCCAAAAATATAGTTATAAATATGCCTCTCCTTAAGTATATACACAAATTCAGTGAGAGCTGTGAGCTTGCTTTTGCCAGGGAGTCTCATTTATAGTAGGTCTAATTTAAAACAAACTAACCCTCATCTCCTCATCAACCCAAGGAAGCCCTTCTCTGTTCTCATCTCTCATTATTTGTCAGAGTCGAAAATCCCTGTTCACAACAATATGTTATGGAGAAGTGCGGAAGAATAGCCAATGCTCTTGAAGAGAGGCGGGGGTGCTGTTTCTGGCTGTAAAGCCCCCAAAATATATTTTGATACTATATACTACACTGAAATGTTTAAATGCTTCTTTGAGTGTCCTTGAATCTTCCCTCTACCCTCGGCCCCCTCTCCTGCCACACCAGGGGGGCACACCAGACCCTCTGAGAGCCACTGATCTGGGGTCACCTTCCGTCATGGCAACGAAGTTCATTCTCTTGCCCCACAATAAGAACATTTGGTAGCCCTTTGAAGTGCCCACGGCACATCCGTTAGCCCCATGTCAAAGTGCCACCCCCCCCCCACTCACAGGTTTCTTCTTGTCTTCGGCAGGGGCCTTGCGCTCCCTGGGGGACTCGCCAGGGGACTTGGGGTGAGGGGAGCGTCGGCCAGACGAAACAGCAGCCATGCTGGAAACGGGGGGAGCCGGCGGGGTGCAAGGAGGCGGCTCAAGCGCACCTGGGCCTGTGGCGAGAAGGAGGGTGGGCTTACTGCAGGGTGCTCCCTCACAAGCAGGTGGACAGGAGACCATTTCCTTACAAAGTGCTTGGGGGCTTCCAAATGCAGAGTTCTGATAAAGGTGGGTAAAACAAAATGCGGTGTGTGGAGAGAGGGAGGGCAGATTGGAGGGTCACCAAGGAAACGGACTGACTGGCGCTTCAGGACTGACAAAAGGAAGAGGCCTCTTCTTCTTCACGGGGTGCACAGGCAACTTATATAGAATCTGCTGCCACCGGACGTGGCGGCGGCCACGGGCTTCACCTTTCCCAGCAGGGGTGACTCACCTTCCCTATGTGGCAGGACTACAATTCCCATCAGCTGCAGCCAGAACACCCGGCGGTCAGGGATGGTGGGAGTCCAGCAACATCTGAGGGAGCCCCGGTTCCCCCGCCCATGGATCTGTGGGGCGGGAACTGAGCATGGCACTCGTGCCGAGGGAACAGTGGAGGCCCAACCTCTCTGGAACCGTCAGGCCAGTCAGTCATCTTGGCCAGGCCTGCCTCCTCTGACGGGCAGCATCTCTGGCAGGAGGGGGCCTTTCTGTCCCCCACTCAGGATCCTCTAGCACTGGTCCATCCCCCCTGTGCTAGTCCTAGCTGGTACCTCCCCCCATGGCGCCCCCAATCAGCGCTGCCCTGGGAGATCTCTGTCCCGGCTCCCTCTCCTCCTCCTCCGGGCTGCCCCCGCCCACTCCCACCAACCTCCCCCATTCCCAGCAGACACTCACCCTCTGTGTTGTGATTCCTGCTTAGGAGCTGGAAGAGAAAAGGCAGAAGATGAACAGCTCTGCAGGCAGGCATCTCTGGAGAAGAAAGCGTTGGGGCAGAGAGAGGGGTCTGCCAGCCCCTTCCCTTTCTCCGGGGGCATTTGGGGGCAGCTCTCAACTTTTTCAGAGTGCTCACATGACTGAATGCTTTTCCACACAACTCCTTCTGCTGCCCCATCCATTCACAGATAAAACCAGCACCTCAGAGAGGTGTTCTAGCCTGGCTTCCCCCCGGCACACTAGTTTTCTCTGTGCAGGGATTCAGTCATTCATTTGTTTGTTTGTTTGCATGGAGAAGCATTCCATCAGACCTGGTGTCTGAAATGGTACACAGAATCATAGAATTGTGGAGTTGGAAGGGACCCCGAGGGTCATCTAGTCCAACCCACTGCAATACAGATTTAGCACCTCTGTAAGAACTAGCCCACCATCAACGACCAACCCATCAGTATTATTCCAGGCTGGGACAGAATCTTCCCCTAGGTTACATTTGCTCCTGACCTGGGAGACTCTCACACACACACAAAACCTCAGATCACCTATGGCATTTCTCCTCTGTGTATTTAAAGACTGCTCTAAATCCAGTTTAAGGGCCACCTGGGAAGCGTAGCTCTGCCACTTTGTGGGCACTGCTGTGCATACGGCCAGGGCTACATCTCTGAATGCCAGTGGGGAGAGTCCTGGTTCTTATTTATTAAATTCCTATACTGCCCTTCGTCTGAGGGTCACAGGGTGGTTTACAACATAAAAGCACTAAAACGCCTCACATGGTAACCAACAAAAGCAAGAGAATGGTAGACTTGGAAGGGGCAGGAGGCCCATCTAGCCCAACCCTCTGCAATGCAGGAATCCTTTGCCCAACGTGGGGCTCAAACCCACCACCCTGACATTTAGAGTCTCCCGCTTACTGCCTGAGCCACCCCAGATGCAAAAGTGGAGCAAAAGGCCAAGACCTGGAGTGTGACGGGTCCCGCCCCCCAAGGTCAAATATGTGCTCCACCAATGAGCCAGGACAGAAACTTCAGAGTGAAGTTCTCCTCCCCCCACAACAAAGTGCCTCACCTCAAGCATGCCGCTGTCCACGGGGCTGGTGGTACTGACCATGTGGACATTTGGGGTGGAGGTTGAGCGGTGCCGTTGGAGCTGCTGCCCACCCCCGTGGAGGCTGAGGAAGCCGAAGGCATCTGGGCTGAAGGGGGGCGGCTTTCTTGGGCTGCAAGAGAAGAGGAGGAGGAGGAAGGGATGACATGGCATCCAAGCTGGGGGGGGGGGGCACACTAACCCTCCAGCAGTTCAGGCGCACAGAGGAGAATCAGGTCTAATAGCAGATTTATACTTAAAAAGAAGAGGCGAAGTGACTTTTCCTTGAGTTTATCAAGCACAAGTCATTGCTTGATAGTTATGCCCTGGACATGGTGGCTACAGCTGCTCTCCTCTCAGAGTGCGGGTATGCTTTTCTATACTTAAGGACTAGTCCCCCATACTTAAGGACTAGAAACTTATCTCCCCTGCTTTTTAAAACAAAAATCAAGCTTTCCTTGAAGAGCAAAGAAAACTGCCTTATATAGTCAGACCACAGAGTCCATCTAGCCAACAAAGACTCCCCAGGTTTTCTGAAGGCTCTCTTTTCTAGTCCTTCCTGGGGATGCCTGGAATTGAATCTAGAACCTTTGACATGCAGAACATGAACTACAGCACTGGGAGGACACAACAGCCTGGGTGTGTGATAGCTTAATGCTTCCAGTTCAAATGTCTCCTGCACAATAATGCAACAGGGATGGTCTTGCATCATATGCACTGTGAGTGGCAGATTTAGCCTGCTGCCCGACTCTGCTCCGCTGTGGGTCCCATGTTGCTGCTGGCGGCTATTTCTAGATCACGATCCCTTGCACAGGTGGGGAGCGAGCAAGGCTCTTACCCAACAGCTTGAGGGGTCTCTGGTTCGTGACTCGGCTGCACTGGGGTAGTCGGGACACTGTTCTGCCAGAATGGAGGGTGCTGCCCCGGATCATGGCTGTAAACACTACATGAAAAGGAGAAACGGGTTGTTAAGACTGGATACAAGGGGAACAGGGACTGAAGCAGGTGCTCCAACCAGGGGGAGGGGTTGTGGGGAAAGGGGATACTCACGGCTTATGCGAAGTGGCCAGGTCCAAGCAGACTGTAGGCACTCGGCTGCTGCAGTGCTCATGGAACTTGTAGCCACAAGTCTGGCAGCGGAAGCCATGGAAGAGGAACTTAAGGCAGAAATCGCAGAAGACCAAATTGAAGTAGGTCTTCCGCACCTGCCCAGAAGAAAGAAGGTCCAGGTCAGAGGAAAGGGAGAAGTTGGGGATGGAACGTTCCCAATATGCCTGTGTGTGTGTCTGTCAACACGCTGCGTGGACACCCAGCAAGGCTGGGCAAAGGAGCCCAAGTCGCCCGCATGCAGAAAACACGCCCCTTTGGTGTAACAAGTGTGGCCTGTATTTCCAAGCCTTTGCTCCAAGGGGGGCAGTTCTGCTGTGCGATTCCACTGCACAGGCAGGGCAGCCTCTGGGTCTAGTGCATTCCTGTAGGACAACGTTCCCCATTCGGGTGCCCACCAGGGTGTTTTGGACTACAACTCCCAGCGTCCCTTACCGGTGAGCATGCTGGCTGAGGGGGGGGGGGGCGTTGCAGCCCAGAACATCTTTGAGGGCACCAGGCTGGGGAAAGCGGCCGCGTGATGCTCTGGAGTGGGGAAGGGGCGGCTGGGTGTCCACAGGGCTTGGGGTGTGTCTGTGTTTGTGTGTGCTGGCAGGGAAACGTGCTGTGACTCACAAAGTTGTGCATAGTAAGCGGCAGGTCCTCCAAGACTTCCACAGAGAGCTCGGCCCCCTCCAGGTTGACCAGGTCCGTCTCCCAGTCTGTGATGGTCTTTCGCCTACAGAGAGAATCAACGCATATGCAGCTGTGACCCAAAGCCCGCCACCTACTGCAGCTCCTCCCTAGAGACAGCCACAATGCTGCTGTAGCTGATCAACTGCACGGGGGGGGGGGGACAAACCCCATGAAATTTCTCCCCACTCTGGTGAGTTCCAAGTCGACTGCTAATGCTAGCCACCACACGCACACCAGGTTAATATACTGCAACACCTAACATAATGCAACGCTGTAAGAAGCAAGAAATCAGCCATTTTCCATAGTGGGGAAGATGGACACAAAGGTGATGGTCCCATTGCCTCGTTCCTGAGGGAGTCCTTGCACTAAGACAGCAATCTCTCCGCCTCTGCCCTGCACTGGGCTTGGGGCAATGAAGCATCCACCACTGGTGGGCAGAGCTGGGAACGAACATTTAAAAATATTCCAACAGCTCAGGCAACAAAACCTTCAGCATGTTTAGAGCCAGATTCTGTCTGGAAAGGGGAAGCTGTCAAATCAGCTGGGATTGAAACTTTGCATGGACCCTAGAAGACACTGGTATAGCTTTTTGGGGCAGGCTGAGGAAGGGGACCGTGCAGAAGGGTACGTGAATAGGCATTCCTCTGGGCTTGAAAAGCCACAGTCCATTTCAAATTGGATTCCAACCCACAGGAAATGGTGCTCACCTTCTGCCCCACCTGAGAGCTCTCCTTTGCCAGTCCACCCACTCCCTTCACAGGTGAAAAAGGCAACCCACAAACCTGTAACACTGCTAAGGGTGGGAATGAGTCTGGCATGCTACCACTAAGGCAACAGGCTGTCCCACCTGAGCTCTGCAAGCATCCTGTGCAGGAACTCGCAGAACCCCTTCTGGTCTAAAGCCTTTTCTTTTCCGGAAAGGGTTGCTTGCTCATCTTTTCAGAGCAGATGGAGAGAGGAGACAGGGAATTGGGCAAGGGAGCTTTGGCGGACACAAGGGCCTTTGAACTCTGACTGGGTGGGCGTGGCCTATCCCAGCCCCCACTTCTCTGTGGCTGCAGCCCCACCAGTGTGTCTGTCTGCGGAGACCTGGAAAGCCTTTGCAAGTTCATGTGTAAACTCCAACTGTGTAAAACATTTTTATTGAAAAAAAAGATCAAAAGGTACAGCACATCATTAAAAAACAAAACAAAGCTAAGTAACTGCGTCCAGACCACTGTCCAGCTGGATGGGCTTCCTGGCAGGTTTGCAGGAGATGCACACGACAGAACTCCTAATGCTGCCTTCCTCAACCTGGGATGCTCTTCCATACGCTTTGGACAACAACGCCCACCAGCCACAGCCATTATAGCTGTGTTGATCATAGCTGGGGCTGATGGGACTTGTAGTCCAAAGCATCAGGAAGGGGGGCATGCCAGGTTGGGGAAGACTAGACCTCTGGGGTCATCTAGTCCAGCCTCTTGTTTTCGAAAAGGGCCAGGGTGATGCTTCTGAGATTCTGCCACAAGGGCGTGAAGGCAACAGCCTTCCCTACTGCTGACCTCAATCTACACTGGCCTCCAGAGATGGACTGCTTTGGATGACGGACTAGATGCATGTAAAACTCTTCAGATCTGGACACCCATAATGCAGAATTTCTGTGTGTGGATAGGGCAGGCCTTGGGTACAGTGTGCTACATTTCGTTTGCTCTTTCCTATACCCAGTCAGGTTGAGGACCCTCAGCTCCCTGCCTGCCTTCCCTTGCTTCCCCGGCCAACCTCAGCAGCCACCTCCTCTCCCTGACAATAGCCACTCACCCATCGCTCTTTTTCCTGTAGACCACACAGCAGTCCTGGTTGAGCCCACGGACCTTCAGGGCCTTGTCTAGGGAGCTGTAGACAGTTGTACCCGGCCGGACAGTCACCTGAGAGGAAGGAGGGAAGCAACTGGTGTGTGCAAGACAGGATATAGACAGTTGGGTGAACAGGGAGATGGTGCTGAACTGACCTTACAGACACTGTTCTCAACATGCAGCTTTGAACTCCACTCTGTCTCTGCCTTCCTCCCATTAGTCTGAAGAAGGCCCAATATGGACCAGTATAGAATAGAATAGATTGCCAAGACTTAGAGCAATCTGGTTAGTATCGGGGCAAGAAGCAGGATCCTTTGGTTCTGGGTGCCACTGGCCCCATGTGGCAAGCTGTAAGATGCAGCTTTGAGCATCTTCCTGGGGGCAAGAACTCCCAGGCCCTGGACTGGCCACTGGGCTCTCCTGGAAAGAAGGCCTGTCATTAGGCTTCCTGGGGTCTTGGCTGAGCAACACAATTTTTCTGGCTCTGATCCTTGGTTTGGCGCCTGCCTACTTGCTTTGAGACTTACTACATGGCAACAGGTCAATTAGGATCCGTGATAACTGGTTTCAACAAATCCTCCGCCCCTGAACCAACTCTAAATCCTCCTCTGCGACTTTTATTATCAAACATGAGCCATATCTGATGTGCTGCTATATATCATCTCAGCATTTGTTTTCAATTTTCTGTACTGTTTGACAGCTGACACAGAATGATATTCTTTTGAAAGATGACAAGAAATAGTTTTTTAGAATGCAAGAACACTTGTTGGAATTTCTGATAGTCTTTGACAGATGTTCCATCTTTGGTTAAAATCCAGTCATGGCGGCCTCTGAGGCCTAGACCCAAAAAGTTTTGGGCTCTACCACCTCACAGAATTACAACTCTTAGCAACTTTCAGCAAACTAAAGTACCCATAATTCTTGGGGGGTGGGATGTGCTTTCAAAATATAGTGTGCACACATATTCAGCTAAGTCCTACTCCAAGGAACCCCACTGAAATTAGTGAACGTAGAGTAGTCATGTCCATTAACTTCAGTGGGTCTGCTTTGACTAAGATTAGTGTTGAATACCCTTCTATGATATGATAGTCCAGTTAGGGCTCCTCTTGCTGGACTCATCCTCATCCCTGACTGTTGGCTGTGCTGCCGGGGTCCAACCACACCTGCAGGACCACAGGTTCGCCTGCCCGCTGCCTCGCCAGACGCTCTCTGAATAGCTAGGATCACACACAGCCTCTCAGGGCCAGAAAGTCTCGCTCACCACTGTGCGCTGTTGATTGGGGAGGTCCACCTTGATGGTGCTCCGAGCCTCGGCCATGGCTCTGCCCCCGAGCCTTTTCCTGCGAGAGGCAAGCATCGTCGTCATGCTGTGGGAGAGAGGCAGGAGGTCTCCCCTCCCACCCCCACCTGAAGGGCCGGGGTCTGGAGAGGAGGAGGAGGAGAAGCCATTCGTGAGTGTGCCGCAGGAGGAGTTCTGACTGCGCCTCATCCAGGGGCCTGCAAGGAGGAAGATACCAGAGGCAAACAAAAGGGGTGACCTCCAGGTCCCTGTCACAGTATGCATGCTTTTTAGCAACAAATATAAAAGAACAGACAGAAGTGCACGCCCACAGAATTTTCATATGGAGCACAATCTGCTACCCAGCACATGAAGCTAGCACCCACAGGCTCCCAGATTTAGCTTTCACACAAACAGCAGTTTCCTAACCCCTCATGATTGTCTGACGCAATCTCCTGGAAAAGCATATCGCTGGCAGCAGGTAACAAGCTCACTGTGATCACTTTATATGTTAACTTGTTTTGAAACAAGACTTCCTTTATGTGAAAAAGCCCCCCCCTGCTTTTGGGGGGTCATCCCTCGCATGACTGTTGTTGTGGAGCGTGTGTTCACACAGTGCTGAGCTAGTCAGGAAGACAACACTTCGTTTGCACCCCGATGAGTCATGTTAACAGAGGACATTTTCTTATTGTGTTCCCAGCTTAAGAGAAGCACATTCTCTTTTGATATAGAGGAAAGTAACTGCATTCTGAATTTAAGTGTAAGCAGCCCCAGGGTGGCAGAGTATTAGCAAATACCTGGTCTTCTCACAGCACCAAGTTTCACGAAAGAAATGTGTTGGACATAAATGTTTTCGTGCTTGAAAACACACACATAAATGTTGTTCCTTTAATGCATTTTCTGCTCCTGTGCTGCATAGTACATTTTGCTGAACATGCCAGTGCCATTTACCATAGAGAGGTAGACTCATGCAAACCCCACAACAGCCAATTTTGTTTTGCTAAAAAAGCATTGGAAGATTGCAACTTTGGGAACGGCAGGGGTCTGAGAAGGCTCAGCTCCGTTATCCTGAAATTTCACTATCTAATTTCACAATCCCCATCTGCTATGCATTTGGCTTCACCACAAAAGACTTCCCTCACCCCTTGCAGCACAAGCCAATCCTGTGAGTTTCTAAGCATCCTTAACCCTGCCTTGGTTCTAAAGCCAAACAGCCATATTTGCTTCCAAGCCACCCCAACCTCCCAGCTAAGCAAAACTTTCCCATGAGCCCACTACCTCCACCCTCCCAAGGTAGGTGTCAGGGAAAACTGGAAGGGCCAAAATTCCCCACTCCTGTTCTAAAGAGAAGTTTCTGTCACATAAAATCACCTAACCATTATTTAATTACATGATGCTCTTTTGCTCAGAGGCCTGTGGGGGCCATAGGATTGTAGAATTGGAAGGGACCCTGAGGGTCATCTAGTCCAACCCCCTGCAATGCAGGAATCTCAGCTAAAGCATCCATGACAGATGGCCATCCCACCACTGCTTAAAAACCTCCAAGGAAGGAGAGTCCCCACCCTCCCAAGGGAGACCATTCCACTGTCAAACAGCCTTTACAGCCAAAAAGTTCTTCCTGATGTTTAGTCGGAATCTCCTTTCTTGCAACTTGAAGCCATTCGAGTTCTACGCTCCAGAGCAGGAGAAAACAAGATTGCTCCCTTCTCCATGTGACAGCCCTTAAGATATTTGAAGATGGCTATCATATCTCCTCTCAGTCTCCTCTTCTCCAGGCTAAACATACCCAGCTCCTTCAACCATTCCTCATAAGGCTTGTTTTTTTTATCCTTGACCATCTTGGTTGCCCTCCTCTGCACATTGTTCCAGCTTGTCAACAACCTTCTTAAATTGTAGTGCCCAGAATTGGACATAGTATTCCAGGTGTGGTCTGACGAAGACAGAATAGAGTGGTACTATTACTTCCCTTGATCTGGACACCAGACTTCTGTTGATGCAGCCTAGAATAGTATTAGCCTTTTATGCTGCTGCATCACCCTGTTGATTCATGTTAAGCATGTGGTCTACTAGGACCCCCAGATCCTTTTCACATGTACTGCTAGTAAGCCAGGTATCCCCCATCCTATATTTGTGCATCTGGTTCGTCCTGCCTAACTGCAGCAGCTTATATTTGTCCCTATTGAAATTCATTTTGTTAGCTTGCGCCCAGTTCTCCCATCTGTTAAGGTCATTTTGAATTCCAATTCTGTCTTCTGCGGCATTAGCTACCCCTCGCAAGCTTACCCTTCCTTTGCCCAAGTCATTCGCAGCTTTTCATGAACCCCATACACACAGCCAATCACCATGAAGGGCCTGAAGATGCTGAATGCTAGCAGCAAAGTGAGGAGAAAAACCAAAGGCAAGTGACAGCAAACAAGCTTTTCCTTCTTCTTTTTGTGCAATAATGTTTGAGCAGGAATAGTACCCTGGAGCAGCGAGAACTTGACATTTGAGCAGCTGTACCCTGGATAATTTCATCTGCTCAGTTCCAGTTTTGGGGGGGGGGGGTGGAGAGAGAATAAACATTGGGGCTTCCTGGAGTTGCCAGTACCAGCTTGCTTCAGGTCCACCCTCAGGGAGTCTTGGCTGTAAGCTCCACTCTGCAGCTACACCGTCATTACAGCTCCGGCAACAGCAGGCTACCTTCCATCAGAATAAAGGGGTGTCCCCGACCCTCCCCACTTGGCTGTCAAACTGTTCTCTGATAGACCTCAGAGGCTAGTGTGGGAGGCTTGTTCACAAGGAGTGTGTTCTTTTGAAAGAAATAAATTAGCACTTCCGTCACTCAGGCGCCAATTAATCACAGGCATTGGGCGCATCATGCTGCTACTGTCCCAATATTGAAACAGAAAACACACGACACAGGTTTGCAGCTGGGAACTGGGATTATTACAAGATTTGTGAAGTGAGGATGTAGCAGCTAAAATAAGGCTGGCTCTGGGATCCCTTGACCTTGAAATACAACTTCTTTCAGAGTAGGCTAGAGGACACCTGCAGATCTTGAATTTATCTGAATGAATTTATTTATTATCAAACCTCAATTTATTTATCATGAAATTCTGCAAAAGCTTGCAGGAATAACACTATCACTGCCTGACTAAAAGTGAAACTGGTAAGAGGCTGCTTACTTCTATAACTTGCTTTTGAAGTTTTATCGAAACCTTGGAAGCCACTGCTCAAAAAGCTGCATCTCACGAATGCACCTGCTGCATTGCTGACAACCCCACACACACACACACACACACCAACACCAAAGCTGCAACACAACTGCTTAGTGTGTCTCAGATGCAACTGCCTCTTTATACAGGGGTCTATTGTCTAGCACCAAAAATGCCACTGCTTTTGGAACAAGGCCAACTGCTATATTGGGATCTCTAATTTGGAGATGAAACGCCAGTTGATTTTAGGGCAAGGACTGTGAAGAAAGAAAATATCTCTTGCAGGTAACTGTCAGTCTTGATCCTGTAGTCCACGGGCAGCCAATATGTTGCCTCCCAGAGAGGCGGACTACAGCTGCCAATTGTCCTGACCACTGGCTATGCTGGTTGGGGCTGATGGGAGTTGGCGTCTGACAATATCTGGAAAGCATCACATCCCCCCCTGCACACTTTCTGCATGAAATGCAGCTGCGTCCACATGCAGAGTGGGGGGCAGCCTGGGGGTGAGAGGGACCCCTCATGCCAGGAGGCCCAGGCCCAGGCCACCAGCGGAGGCAGAGGTCGACGTGGGCCTAAACCAGCCAGGGAAAGGCAGGAGCCGAGGCTGAGGGGGCAGGATCCACAGGGCCCCAGGGAGATCTCTGGTCTCGGCTTGTTCCCGCTCCGATCTCCGCTCGGCCCTTCCTCCCTTGGCCATTTTGTGGCTGGCCTCCGGGGCTGCAGTGTCTCGGGCTGCCTTGGAGGAGAGGCGGCTCCAGCCCCGCGAAGCCCCAGGCCAGCTCCAGGCCAGCCGGGCAGCATTCCGGGGCGCGGGGAGGCGGCGCCACCGCACCGAGGGGCCCCATTCACCTGCCCCGACGCCGCCGCCCTCCGGAGGGGAAAGGGGCCCGCGCGCGCCTCCCGCGGATTCCCACGACTCCCCGCAACACGGGTGTGCGCGTGTCCTGGGAACCGAGGCCCCGCGCCGGGCTCCCGCCCCGCCGAGCGAGGAGGGGAACTCCCTACCTGCCGCCGCGAAGCCGCCGCCGCCGCCATCTTGTCCGAGCCTCCGAGGTGGGCGGGGCCCGGGCGCTGACGTCGCACGCCGAGGAGGGAACTCCCTGGGGGCGGGGCGGGGAAGGGCGCTTAACTCCTCCTTCGCCGGAAGGGTGGGGGGGGAAGGGACCCCCGAGGGTCATCCAGTCCCTCCGCAGCCGCCTCTTCTCCCAAAGAAGGCGGCCGAGTTTTAGGACCAGAGTCTTCCTTCTCCCGGGCAGACGAGCCCCATCTAAGACTACGCGCCAAGCCTCCCCCATTTGGCCTGCGCGGCCAGGCTGGCCAAGCCCATGGGGGGGGGGGGGCAACTGAATCAGTAAAATTCAATACAAATCAATACAAATCTTAGGTTGTGTGTCCACCTAACAAAAGTCAGCCCCCCATGTTGGGGGGGAGGACTTCTGTTGCGGGGGGGGAGGCAGAACCGACGTGATTGGTCAGTAAGTTAAGTATTTCTATTGTTTTGCTTAATGGGGGGCAGTTGCCCCCTCTGCACCTCCTTGGTGCACCCCTAACAAAAGCCTGCCCCCTCCACAAATATCCTGGCTACGCCCGTGGCAAAGCCACACCCATCTAACATCAGGTGTGGGGTGCATGAAGATGCAGCTGTGCCAAAAGGGAGTCGCCCTGGAATGGGGCAAGGATGGCGTGGGTGGGCCCCAGCAATTCAACACATAATGGCTGCTGAGCCTCCTGGGCATTGCAAAACCAGACCACCAGGACCACGACGATGATGATGAATAGCTTACCACGCTGCCAAATGGCAGAACCATGCATCTATATATACGCAACCGAAGCCAACACACTGTTAGTAAATGCAGCTGGTAGCAGAGCAAATGGCTTCAGCTCACCCACTGACCATGTTACGGACTAACAAAGAATGTAAAAAGATATCCTATCATCAACCTCTGTACAATGGCACTACCAGGCACGATACATCGACCAGGAAGAAAAAATCACAATGAGTTGCGAGCTAGTTCAGTTCCGGTGCTGAAACGACAGCATTGGCGGTTCAAGCGCAAAAGAAGAGTCCTGCTGGACCAGAGCAAATGTCCATCTAAGCCCCGCGTTACGTTTCTGACAAAGAGCTGCCAGAAACCTGTGGAAAAGATGCAAGCAGCTCATAAAACGGATGCCTATTTCATTTTAGTTGTCCTCGGCACCCAGTCAGAGGCAGACTTGGGGGCGGAGGTCATTTGGAGCAGAGAAGTACCCATGGGAGTGTGTCCCTTTCCACCACCCACAGTCTTTCTATTGCAAATCTCCCCCTCCCACCTGCCTTCCCCCTTCCAATATTTGCATTTATAACCTTGCATTGCGGTAGTCCAAGCGGGAGATAACCAGAACATGCACTACTCTGGCGAGACAGACAGCGAGCAGGGAGGGTCTCCGCCTGCGTACCAGATGGAGCTGGTAGACAGCTGCCCTGGACACAGAATTGACCTTCACCTCCATGGACAGCTGGGAGTCCCAAATGACTCCCAGGCTGCGCACCTGGTCCTTCAGGGGCACAGTTACCCCATTCAGACCAGGGAGTCCCCCACACCCGCCCGCCCCCTGTCCCCCAAAAACAGTACTTCTGTCTTGTCAGGATTCAACCTCAGTCTGTTAGCCACCATCATCCAACCACCTCCAGACATTCACATAGGACCTTCACCGCCTTCCTTCATTGGTTATTACTATTATCTCACAACATGTTCAAACCTGTGCTGGGTGGGAGGTGACATGGTCAATGAAAGCCCTAACACCAGGGATGTGCTGAGAAAACAGAAGCACACCAAACTGCAGCTCCCACTTATTATTGGATCTTCCTGCCAAGCATAAAGGGTAGACCATTACTGAAAGAATGTCTCTCCCAGAGTGCTAGAATGACATAAGTAATCTAATGAGACAATGTGATATATGTCATTTTTACTGTACATTATATCCCGTGTCAACCTACGGGTATGGCTTCACTTGCAAATAGCCTTAACAGGCGTGACATGTGAGTCCCTTTCAGGTTTACATGAAACCACACATCTGGGAAGGTGGATACCAGGTTATTATTTATTGAATATCTATATAACTTATGGGACCAAAGGGGGGTGGGAAATATCTATAGTGGTATCTTGGTTCTCAAACTTAATCCATTCTGGAAGTCCGTTCCAAAACCAAAGCCTTCCAAAACCAAGGTGTGCTTTCCCATGGAAAGTAATGCAAAATGGATTAATCCATTCCAGACATTTAAAAACAACCCCTAAAACAGCAATTTAAGATGAATTTTACTAACAAGACCATTGATCCATAAAATGAAAGCAATAATAAATGTATTGTACTATAAAATAAATAAGACAGTATTGCAGATGATAAAAAAAAAATATCTTACCTACAATGATGATAGTCATTGTTTGCCTTTATCCATTTCCACAGTCACACAATCAATCAATAGCCGAACTGGGTTCCACATAGTCACAAAACAAAATAAGCAAAAAATCCTCAAAAACAAAAAGGTCAAACTTAATGCATTCCAGAAGTCTGTTTGACCTGAAATATTCAAAAAATAAGGCACAGCTTCTGATTGGTGCAGGCGGCCTGGAAACAATACCCGACAGCCACATTGGATGTTTGACTTCTGGAAAGCATTCGAAAACCAGAACTTACTTTCGGGTTTTCGGCATTTGGGAACCAAGGCGTTTGAGTACCAAGGTTCCAATGTAGTATCTATGTCTGAACTGTAGTTAAATGCAGAGAAAATATTTGTGGTTCCTGCAGAACCCAAGCAAATTTCTCTCCAAAGGAGGGAACTGTTAAAACCAGGGATGGGGGAGGGCAGTTAAACAACTCCCCCAAAATTCCAAGTCCCCCCCACAGCCTTGAACTAAGGTCAGAACAATGAGCCTGAAGAGGCTCAGAAAAGACGTCTATAAAATTGAAGTGGATACCGTGTATCCTCTGTTTCCTCGGACTATCCAATATAGAAACAAAATAAAAAAATTCCTTCCAGCAGCACCTTAGAGACCAGCTAAATTTGTTATTGGTATGAGCCTTCGTGTGCATGCACACTTCTTCAGATCCAATATAGAAAACTGTAAAACCTTCAAATAATCGCCAAAATTCAATGGTTTGACGGATTTCCTTGGCTCCAAGGGCTAATGACTCCTCCAGAAGAGGGGGGGAATCCAGGTCTCCCCTGCCTCAGGAGGCGATCAAAGGCAGCAGAAACCCTGGCAGAAACCCATCGGGATGGTGGGTCGAATCCTGATATTTTCAAAGGAGAAGCGCAGGAAAGCCTTGCAGCTAGGGGGCTTGAGTAAAGACTTCTATTGTTCTTTGAGGAAGAGGGTAGTTAAAAGGTGTGGGAAACTGGGGTTACTGACAGGGGTGGGTGACAGTTTCATGTTTCTTTATGCCAACCACTCCTCTTCTGTGTCATATCTGTGATGTATTGATGCTGCTATTGGAAATGTATTATGGGAAAGGGGGAGGGAGTCTTAAAAGTCCACGAAACCCCACACTCGGGGTTCCTACTCTTTGTGTATTTGAGCCTTGTTGCAACAAATAAAGATCAGGTTTACTGACTGCTGTTTTGCTTCTTTAATCTAACTGGAGACTCCTTTTGCTGACCAGAGGGACTCGTGGGGAATGGCAGCCCAACAAGCTGGGCAACGGAGTAATCCCGGACCCCAATATTTTTTCCTTATCAGCCTTTCCCGATGACACTGACTAGAAGCTGAAGGAGGAGAGCCAGCAATGGAAGGTGACTCACTTGTGGAGAGAATGGCTGCTTAAGGCAGGAGAAATTCTGGGGCCCAAAAAAGAGCAACAGGCTGCAGCAGTAAGGAGGAATGAAGCTGTCAATTTTGGTTTCTCTCATTTTTTCATTTTCCCAATTTTAAGTTCTCCATATTTCCACAGCAGTTTGCATTAAAAAAAAATATTAAAGATTCTCTTGACTAACAAAAGTATGTGCATTGTCTCTTTTTTCAGATCTTGCATTTTTAAAAAATGTCTTCAGCAATTTAATGCAATTTTCTCCTACTATATGCATTTTTGCAAAGCAATTTCCCCTAATGCAATGCATTTTGGTATATTATATTCAATAATATATGCATTTTTATGCACACTTTCCCCTAGTATGTGCATTTTTGTACACATTATTTATGACCAAATTTGGAGAAGTGGAGAAGTGTGAATTTCAAAGCACAGCTGCGTTTTGGTTTGCAAATTAGGTAAGTTTACCTTTAAATGTGTACTGAATCAACTTTCTCCCTCAGTCCTACTTGTAAGTGAATCCTATGGAATATAGTAGGACTTACTTCTTAGTAAACTTGCATTAGAACAGTTTTCATACAAAATTACTCATTCTTAAAGGAAACACAAACTCCTGGAACCTAGTACCACTTGGAGATTGGGGCAGGTGCAACAATACTTTAGATCTCAGTGCTAAAGCCATTTATGTTGCCTGTGGATGTAACAACTTAAACCTAATTATATTATATAGTTATATGTTATATATTGCTTAGACTGTCTTGTTTTGTTTTTTAAGATAATGGTAAATTGTTCCTTCCCTTCTTCTCCCAGGCCTAAGAAAGCAATCAGTTACATGCAGCAGCCTCATGCTCTAATGATTTCATGTAGAGCAGTTTCCCTTTTGACAAGACTTTGAATAATATATAAATTGAAACTGAATCCTGGCAAGACAGAGGCATTATATGTTCCAAGTACTTGAGTTTAGGAGGTGCACTCCCTTGCAAGGAGCGGGGTCAAAGCTTGAGGGTACTTCTGGACCTGGACCCAGCATTGTAATTGGAGGCTCAAGTTAGAGCAGGAACCCCTGCCCTCAGCCGCAAGCCCAGGGACCCCAAGGTTCATCTAGTCCAACCCCCTGCAATGCAGGAATCTCAACTAAAGCATCCATGACAGATGGCCATCTCACCTCTGCTTAAGAATGTCAAAGGAAGGAGAGTCCACCACCCTCTGAGGGAGAATGTTCCATTGCTGAACAGCTCTTACGGTCAGAAAGTTTTTCCTAATGTTTCGTTGGAATCTCCTTTGTTGCTACTTGAAGCCATTGGTTTGAGTCCTATCTTCCAGAACAGGATGTGACAGCCCTTGAGATATTTGAAGATGGCTATCATATCTCCTCTCAGTCTCCTCTGTTCCAGGCTAAACGTACCCAGCTCCTTCAAGCACTCCTCATAAGGCTTAGTTTTTAGATCCTTGAACATCTTGGTCGCCCTCCTCTGCACATGTTCCAGCCTGTCCTTCTTAAACTGTGGAGCCCAGAACTGGACACTTGGCTCCATATGTGATCTGACCAAGGCAGAAGGTATTACTTCCCTTGATCTGAACACTAGACTTATGTTGATGCAGCTAAGAATAGCATTACCTTTTTTTGTTGCTGTATCACACAGCTGACTCGTGTTAAGCTTGTGGTCCTCCAAGACCCCTAGATCCACATGTACTGCTAGATTCACCTAGATTCACCTAGATACCCCTAGATTCACATGTACTGCTAGTAAGCCAGATGTCCCCTATCCTATATTTGTGCATCTGGTTCTTCCTGCCTAAGTGCAGAACCTGACATTGGTCCCTATTGTGCCCAGTTACTGTTACACTGCAACATTTTGTTGCAATGTCCAAGTCCCAACTAATGCCAGGATGCCTAAGCTAGGTCAGATTTGCCAGCATTTGTGTCCTTGCACAAAGACACAAAAGTACATTTTGTCAAACCTTAAAATATAATATGATGCATCCATTTGGGACCTCCCTCTCATTCTCATCCCATCAGAGGTAGAGAGTGTGGTTTCAATTGCAATCAGCTGTGTCCCTTTGCATCTCATTGAAATTGGTCTTGAGGGCTATAAAAGGCCCTTGATAAGGAAGCTTGGTTTCCCCACCTCTCCACCCAGTGTCTTCTGCCAGGAAGGATTTGTAGGTGGGCCTTGTGGTAGCTTGTTCATGGTAAGTATCTCTCCCCCCCCCCCCCCGATTATGCTTTTGCAATCTCTAATCCTTTGAAGCCATGTAGGAGTTTTATAGTACTATTTTGGGTATCTTCTGCTTTGTAAATTTCTCTGCCTGGTTTTACCACCACCACCATTTTCTGGCATCAAATCTTTGGGTGCAATCTCTTTCAGAGTGGGATGCTAGCATGGTCCTGCTCTTGCAAGTCATGGCAGAAGCCCAGACTTGCAGCTCTGTGGAGCTTGCCTTGCTGCACAGGATGGGGCTGCAACTCATTATGGTTCTCAACAGTGTTGTGGATGAACCTGACACACCTTTCTTGTCTAGCATACCAGGGACTCCCTGAGAGGGACCATTAAAGCTTCTAAATTGGTAACAACATAAAAAAAACTTTGATTTTAAGGTGAACTGAGGGCTGAATTCGGTGCCGGATTTATGTATATGCTAAACAAGGTATAGCTTAGGGCCCCACTCTCTTGAGGGCCCCCACAAAATTTCCACTATTAATATACTTCTTCTAAACTGTATTTCAGTTCAACAATTACTTTGATAAAATATATTTTGTTATGTGCAAATGGCTTTAGATACCTGTTAGGTCCATAAATTACCATATAGCATATTCAACCCAAAAAACAGCGACAATTTGTTGTTGACAAAGGACAGCTGGACATCTAAACAGCCCCATTACCTTCAGGAGCTTAGGGCCTCATCAAACCTAAATCCGGTCCTGGCTAAATTGGTGGAACTGTGAGACCAAACACTTGCCTTTCTACTGATGGTCGTTTGGAGAATGGTTTCTGGTGCAAGAGAGACAGTGTCTAGGATGTGGTTTGGCCCTGGATGTTGAAAGCTTCTGAGAGCCGATGTTTTCTCTGTCTTCAGGCTCATCCAGACTTGCTTTTGTGCCACATTTCTAGGCCCAGGTCTGGGCTTCCAAGTGCTTTCTGGTTTTTTACCCTGGCACGTTCCCCACGAAAACCTGCTTTTTACTGCTGATTCTAAGGAAATGGCAATCTTTGAAAAACCTGAATTGTCATGTGTTATGATTCAACATTAAAGAGCAGGTCTTCCTGGGGAAAGTGCCAGGTGTGTGTGTGTGTGTAGCGCTTGGACACAGAACTTTAAAGCACAGACCTGTCGTCTAGAAAGCACGGTACAAAAGGCAAGCGTGGTGGAGCCCAGAGTTCCAAAGAAAAGAATTGTGACCTGAATAAGCATGTTTTTGGTGACACCCATGTTGTAGTTATGCCACTGCTCCTCTTCCTATCTGCAGTGATTATCTATACAATTTCAGGGTGTTGGCAAACTTTTTTTTTTTTTTTTGCCCCTTAGCAGATCAAATTGCTTAATTGAAAATTGGCTATTGCAAATTGCAGATTGAAAATGGGCTATTAAAGACTGCAGACCTAAGCAGGTCTGATTGCACTTCACTGAGGTTTAATTTCAAGTAAGCATGTTTGGGATCATGGAGTGTCCCCACTTGATGGGTGTGGAGCATGTGCAGAGTGCTCCATTTTTGGGACTCACCAACTTGTGTCCTACATGCATGCTTGAACTAGCGTCAGGGGTCTCAGGGTAAGTTTCAAAACTTCTGAGAAGATTAACCTAATAGCTTTTAATGGTTTTGCTGAGGCAGTGTCTTGTCCCACTGGTTCATCCAGCCCAGCAGGCGTGGCTGACACAGGAGGGAGCTGCCCCACTGGTACTAGAGCAGCGGACTCATTCTGGTGCATATTGGCTGAAGCTGATGGATGCTTGGAGCCCCACAACAACTGGAGGGACAGGGCTCCCATCCTGAGGGGGAGCACCCAGATTTACATCCTCCTTCAGCCATAGAGCTCAATGAACTCCATGGCGGTAAGACAACCTGTTACTGAATGTTTGCTGGACCTTGTCCAACCTGCTGTATTGCAGATGTTTTCAAGTTACAACTCTAAAAAGACCCAACCAGCATGACAGGGAGGATGGGAGTTGTAGTCCTGCAACATCTGGAGGGCACCAGATGTTTTTGTCCAAAGTCTGATATAAAGATCAGGACCAGAGATGGCAGACGCTGGATTGGGAGTCTATTGGGAATAACCAATCCACAAGCTTGCACTATACCCCTGAAATGAGTTTGCATCTATTATTGTTTCAGCTTTGCTTGCGGAAAGTCTCCAAAGGCCTGGGCCAACTTGAAGCCTACATCGATGCAGAAGAAGGTGTGGCTTTCCAGATGGATAACAACCTGATCTGGGACTCATTGGATGGCCAATACACATGGGCCATACAGGGTCTAATTGAAAAGTTGGCATCTAGCAAATTCTGGGTCACTTGTCTGCCTATGGGAAAGGTTATGCTGAGAAACTGGGCAGGGAAGTATCTCGCTGCAGTGGCTATAGGAGAAAACCCAGTAAACTTCCCCATCCAGCCTGTTCAGTACTCAGAAGATCCATCTTTGCAGTTTGAGGTCTTTTACAAGGGCAATAGGGTAGCTTTCCAGGCCTACAATGGGCTGTTCTTGACCAGGACATATAGAGGGTTCACTTCAGTTGAAGCAGCCAAGTTGGTTGCTGATGATTCCTGTTATTTCCGCCCCCTGATTGGAGACCTCCTCCCCCCAAAGTTCAAAATACTGAGGGTGATCACAAGCGATCTCTCTCACATGATATACCACCACTCTGTCTTGGATAAGCAGGTCTACGCCAACCGGGGGGAAGCAGCAGTGAGGCACACTTTCGACATGACTTGGGAGTCGACCGTTGCAGACACCGTTTTCTGGAACAGTCTGTGGGGGCTTGGTGTGGAAACTTCCTGCCACTTTACTGTTGAAGATGCAATGCCTCGTTTGGAGTACACGGAGAACAATGACCGGACCGTCCTTGTGCAGAGGAATATTTCTCAGAGGCTCACCCAGGAGGTGCTGGTGCCCCCCCACACTGAAGTCTTGGCCAAGCTTGTTGTCCACAGAAATTCTACGGCTACTGTGTCATTCACAGCTGTCATCCAAAAGGTGAAATCAAATGGGGATGTGGTGATGCTGAACAAAGGTGGGCTCTGGAAGGGTCTTGTCTACCACGGGGTCCGTCTGGAGATCACCAAGCGGAAGCTGAGTGAGCGCAGACCTCTTGAGGAATGCCCCCTCCTGTGATGTTATGGGGAGTGGTGTCCTTCCAAGGGGGCCATGTGGACTGGATGGCAGGTGGCTCACCCCTGAAGAAACATAGCTATGGCTGCTCAGATTCTGGACCATCCTGGTCCATTGTCACTTTGAAGACTATTCCTGCTTATCAAGGCAGGCAAGGACTGCTTCCTGGCTGTCTTCTGGCAGATACTTTCTGCCTCCTAGGTGCCTGAAAAAGATGGCTACCTTTTTTACGACAAAGAAGAAGAGAGCTCCTTGCCTTTTTAGCATAATTAACGCAACTTAAATAAAATGGTGAATTTTTTTTTGTCTCTGAAAAATGCCTTCTGCCTCTTTGTGTGTGGATAGGTTTAGAGTAGGGACACTTGTGGGGGAAAGGGTCACTGCTGTTGCTGGAAAACACCCCAGTTTCAATGGGAAAGCTGTATGGAGAATATTTAAAGTAACATTTTGGCTGCACACAAACCATAAATTGCATCTTTCCTGCTGCATCTTTCCTATTCCAATGGAGCAGGGGGAGCCATAATGGCAGCGCAGTGAGCATGTCCAGCAATGCAGTCAATTCCCCCAAGTTCCAGCTACATCACTACCACCATTTGGCAGCCTAGAAACAAAACAATGCAACTTTCTATGACACCTTTGGTCTTTGTGTGCAGGGCAAAATAGTATGGAGTAGCTGGAACAGGAGGTCAGAGGGAAAGATCCCAGGTCATTTCCTACTGCATACTGACAATCTATTCTGAGATGACTCAAGGGATGGAGGTGAGAGATGTTCATAGAAATTAATGGAGTCATCTCAAGGGGCAAAAGAAGGCAAGACTCCTGTCCCTTTAATAGCTGTGTAGAAGTTCAATAGGTGGTACTTTGTGTTTTTATTGTAAACAGCCCTGAAATCTTTGGATAAAGAGCAGTATAGAAATCATCATCTAATATTCCTGCTGCTACACATGCATTAAAGGGACTGGAGCCCCCACCCTTTGTATAAGAAAAGGCTGGCGATCCAAATTCCAAAGCAAATGCAGTTCATACTGTAGGTTGGATGTGGTTGGGAAAGAGTGACTTATTAATTAATTAATATTAATATTACATCATGCCATCCCTGCAGGGCAGTGAGAGTAGTTATACAGTTGCACCCTCCCTGATTTTCCCCCAGACCAAAGCAAGTACCGTATTTTTCGCACCATAGGGCGCACCGGACCATAGGACGCACCTAGTTTTTAGACGGGGAAATCAATAAAAAAAATCTTAGAATCATAGAATCATAGAGTTGGAAGAGACCACAAGGGCCATCGAGTCCAACCCCCTGCCAAGCAGGAAACACCATCAGAGCACTCCTGACATATGGTTGTCAAGCCTCTGCTTAAAGACCTCCAAAGAAGGAGACTCCACCACACTCCTTGGCAGCAAATTCCACTGTCGAACAGCTCTTACTGTCAGGAAGTTCTTCCTAATGTTGAGGTGGAATCTTCTTTCTTGTAGTTTGGATCCATTGCTCCGTGTCCGCTTCTCTGGAGCAGCAGAAAACAACCTTTCTCCCTCCTCTATGTGACATCCTTTTATATATTTGAACATGGCTATCATATCACCCCTTAACCTCCTCTTCTCCAGGCTAGACATGCCCAGCTCCCTTAGCCGTTCCTCATAAGGCATCGTTTCCAGGCCTTTGACCATTTTGGTTGCCCTCCTCTGGACACGTTCCAGTTTGTCAGTGTCCTTCTTGAACTGTGGTGCCCAGAACTGGACACAGTACTCCAGGTGAGGTCTGACCAGAGCAGAATACAGTGGCACTATTACTTCCCTTGATCTAGATGCTATACTCCTATTGATGCAGCCCAGAATTGCATTGGCTTTTTAGCTGCCGCGTCACACTGTTGGCTCATGTCAGCTTTGTGGTCAACCAAGACTCCTAGATCCTTTTCACATGTACTGCTCTCAAGCCAGGTGTCACCCATCTTGTATTTGTGCCTCTCATTTTTTTTGCCCAAGTGCAATACTTTACATTTCTCCTGTTAAAATTCATCTTGTTTGTTTTGGCCCAGTTCTCTAATCTGTCAAGGTCGTTTTGAAGTGTGATCCTGTCCTCTGGGGTGTTAGCCACCCCTCCCAGTTTGGTGTCATCTGCAAATTTGATCAGGATGCCCTTGAGTCCATCATCCAAGTCGTTGATAAAGATGTTGAATAAGACCGGGCCCAAGACAGAACCCTGTGGCACCCCACTAGTCACTCTTCTCCAGGATGAAGAGGAACCATTGATGAGCACCCTTTGGGTTTGGTCAGTCAGCCAGTTACAAATCCACTGAGTGGTAGCATAGTCAAGGCCGCATTTTACCAGCTTCTTTACAAGAATATCACGGGGCACCTTGTCAAATGCCTTGCTGAAATCAAGGTAGGCTACATCCACTGCGTTCCCTTCATCTACCAGGCTTGTAATTCTGTCAAAAAACGAGATCAGGTTAGTCTGACATGACTTATTTTTCAGAAATCCATGCTGACTATTGGTGATCACAGCATTCCTTTCTAGGTGCTCACAGACTGTTTGCTTAATGATCTGCTCCAGAATCTTCCCTGGTATTGATGTCAGACTGACTGGGCGGTAATTATTTGGGTCCTCTCTTTTCCCCTTTTTGAAAATAGGGACAACATTTGCCCTCCTCCAGTCTGCCGGGACTTCGCCTGTTCTCCAGGAATTCTCAAAGATGACTGCCAGTGGTTCTGAGATCACATCTGCCAGTTCTTTTAATACTCTTGGATGCAGTTCATCTGGCCCTGGAGACTTGAATACATCTAAACTAGCCAAGTATTCTTCTACTATCTCCTTAGTTATTCTGGGCTGTGTTTCCTTTGCTGAATCATTTGCATCAAATTCTTCAGGTCGGGCATTGTTTTCTTTATCGGAGAAGACTGAGGCAAAGAAGGCATTGAGGAGTTCAGCCCTTTCTGTGTCCCCTGTTTGCATTTCACCATCTTCTCCTCTGAGTGACCCCACTGTTTCTTTGTTCTTCCTTTTGCTACGAACATACCCATAAAAGCCTTTTGTGTTGCTTTTAACCTCTCTAGCAAGCCTGAGGTCATTCTGTGCTTTAGCTTTTCTGACTTTGTGTCTACACGTGCTGGCTATTTGTTTGAATTCCTCTTTGGTGGTTTCCCCCCTTTTCCAGTTTGTGTACACATCCTTTTTTAATCTTAACTCAGTTAAAAGTTCTTTAGATAGCCACCCTGGCTTCTTTAGGCACCTTCCATGTTTCTGTCTCATTGGTATTGCCTGAAGTTGTGCTTTTACTATCTCCCTCTTAACAAACTCCCAGCCATCATGAACTCCCTTTCCTTTTAGTATTACTGTCCATGGGATCTCACCCAGCACTTCCCTAAGTTTTATGAAGTCGGCTTTCTTAAAGTCAAGAAATTGAGTCCTAGTATGCTTGGCTGCTCCTTTCCACTGTATAGTAAACTTCAGAAGAGCATGATCACTCGCGCCTTCCACTTCTACCCCACTAACCAGGTCATCAACATTGGTTAGGACCAGATCTAAAATGGCTGTTCCTCTTGTTGCTTCTCCCACTTTCTGGACAATGAAGTTGTCTGCAAGGCCAGTGAGGAATCTGTTTGACCTTATGCTCTTGGCTGAGTTTGACATCCAACAAATATCCGGGTAATTGAAGTCCCCATTACTACTATCTCCCTTCCTTTTGCATGCTTGGCCATCTGTTCCAGGAAGGCATCATCTATGTCCTCCGTTTGGCTTGGGGATCTATAGTAAACTCCCACAATGAGGTCACTGTTATTCTTCTCTCCCTTCATTTTGACCCAAATGCTCTCACTTTGGCTTTGAGGTTCTAAATCTTGGATCTCTTCACAGGTATACACATCCCTGACATATAACGCCACTCCTCCTCCTTTCTTGTCTGGTCTGTTTCTCTGAAATAGATTGTATCCCCCCATTATTACATTCCAATCATGGGACTTATCCCACCAGGTTTCAGTGATGCCTATTATGTCATATTTAGTTTGCTGTACCAAGAGCTCAAGCTCATCTTTAGCTATTGGGGCCTCCCGCTGCTGCCGCGCCGCTGAAGCACGATTTCTATTATCATCCTGCAGCAAAGTTCTTAACCCGAGGTACTGTTTCTGGGTTAGCGGAGTCTGTAACCTGAAGCGTCTGAACCCGAGGTACCACTGTGCTATACTTCGGTTGATGCAGCCTAGGATAGCATTAACTTTTTTTTTGCTGCTGCATCACAATGTTGACTCATGCTAAACTTGTGGTTCACCAAGACCCCTAGATCCTTTTCACATGTACTGCTAGTAAGCCAGGTGTCCCCTATTCTATATTTATATATATATTCAGCGAGTGCTGAAGACACACACTTCTCTACCCTGACCTTTGGCACTGGGATGTGTGTTCTCGGCCCCCCCCCCCCCATTCCTGTGACTGAGCTTTAAATTGTTGTAAGCTGCTGTGGGACTTGCTGGTGGAAGGCAAGCAATAAATGTAAACAAGAACAGCAACAATAACAATGACTCAATAAGCAGGTCATCTTCTAATCTTCTAGGTAGTTCCTACCACCTTTTTGCAACCTGCGGGAATAAGCCAGGAGTTCACCTGCCTAGGGCATCCTTGGAGCAACTCCTCCCAACTGCGCCCCCTCCAGTGTAAAGACAGATCTCAACTGTGTTTTAATGCATTTATTTCTGGAACTCAGCAGAGCTGTTTCTTGCCAGATAATAACCCTAATAATGAGTGTGGACTTGGTTTATTAGCATCCCTGCTGACACCAGGGGGCAGTGTTTCTCTACACGTTGCATCCTGCAACATATTGAGACAGGTCCCGCCCTTGACAGTATAATCTCCATGCCACCCTGGAAATGAAAAAAAAAAACAACAGATGAGGACACATCCAGCAACACGCTGTGTACGTTACCAACTTAAAACATAGCTACTTGTTCTTTTTTTCTCAATTTGGCTTGAAGCTGGCCATGACCTGAAGCCGGAGGAATGTGTTGAACTCAGCCTTTGCTTTATCTGCTTTCACCACTCTCTAATTATTATTATTAAAATGTTTATGATGGTTTAAAACACACACACACACACACACACACACACTGCCCTGAACATTGTCACTAATACAAAGAGTCAGATATAAATATAAATAGACTTAACAAAAAATGGCAGCCTCCGCAGAGGGAGGGTGATTCTGCTGGGGATGTTAATGATCTGGTCAGACCCGGCATGGGTATAAGACAGAAACCCCCAAAATACAGGGCAGGCTTTGCATAAGGAACCAAGACCAGTGAATCAGACAGAGGTACAGCAGGCAGGCCTCTCTTGCAGATGTGGACTCAGAGAAGCCCTTAGGTGACACAGTCACTTGATTCTTGTGGCAGAGTAAGGTAAAGGGTAAAGGGACCCCTGACCATTAGGTCCAGTCGTGGCCGACTCTGGGGTTGCGGTGCTCATCTCGCTTTATTGGCCCAGGGAGCCGGCATACAGTTTCCGGGTCATGTGGCCAGCATGACTAAGCCGCTTCTGGCGAACCAGAGCAGCGCACGGAAACGCCGTCTACCTTCCCGCCAGAGCGGTACCTATTCATCTACTTGCACTTGACGTGCTTTCGAACTGCTAGGTTGGCAGGAGCAGGGACCGAGCAACGGGAGCTCACCCCGTCGCAGGGATTCGAACCGCCGACCTTCTGATCATCAAGTCCTAGGCTCTGTGGTTTAACCCACAGCGCCACCCACATCCCTATTGTGGCAGAGTAGCAGTTCTCTAATGCTAAGGCTGGTAGTGTGACCAGTTCAACCACATGGCACCAAAACAATGATGTAGACTGGAGTGCCAAAGGTATCCCCCTCCCAAATGTTAGCGTAGCACAAGACACTGCTGAAAATTGAGAGCCCAAAGGCCACCGCTGTCCAGCGGCAAGCGCTGAAAGTTTTCCTAGGGGAACAGTTAGGGCCAGAGGCAACAGCTTGTGAGGGAGATGGGGGGGGCAATGTCATGCATGTGAAACTGTGATGTCCTGACGCTGCACATGTGAGCATCACACCAGGCAGAAGCTTCCCGGGCACCAGGGGAACATTTAGTGGACTAGCCTAGACCCCTTAGTCCAGTGACTGCACACCATGGTCATCATCTAATGGCCTCACAGTATTCCCCAGCTCACACTTTGGGAACAACCATGTTACAGGCCATTTCCCATTTCCAGCGTGACCTTGTGCTTCTGCAGTGACTGGGTTGGGCAGACGCCTCCACCTCTTGCAAGGAAACACCACTAAGAGTTTTCTCCCAAAGGCTTCTTACCAGGCACCCATTCCATCCTCTGAGTTGTCAACCACAATCTTAGCACAAGCCACATCTGGAGCGACGTTGTCTGTCAGCAGTTCTGCAAAGAAAGAAGATGGAATACAGACATGAAAGGTCCCTGCTGGGATGTTATAGGTCTGGATAAGTTTTGAGGTGACGGGGCGTGGGTGCAGGTAGGTAAAAAAAGGATTAAAAAGGTAAAAAGGGAGGGTGTAAAGTAGGCCAAACAATATCGCTTGACCCATCCATGGTTGTCACTGACTCACTGCCCATTAGCATGCAATTTGAAATGCCCTGTTGCATCAAGAAGGATGCAATATTTCTATACCCTTATGAATTCCAAGTCAAATAAATGCATTTGCTGAGGTCTCACTCCTACAATGTTCAGTTATATGTGTAACTTGAAATCCCCTGGTGTGGGGGGTGGCATTTCAGGGAGGAAGCCCCAGCCAGCAGATACATCAACGTACAAATATGGTCAGGCTAGACTGCTGACCCACGGCTATCCTACTTTTTACCTTTGGGGTTGTGGACTCCACACCTGCAAAGAGCAGAAGGTGAGGAAGGACAACTGGTCCTTTCTGTCTCCCAAAAGTGTTTGATGTGGCTTCACAATTTAGATCAGGGTGGGGAACATGTGGCCCTCCAGATGTCGTTAGAGTCTAGCTTCCATCAGCCCCAGCCAACATCTGGTGGGCCAAAGGTTCTCCATCTCTGAATGAGGCAAAATTCTCTCCAGGGGAAGCTGATTCTCACCAGAGCATTGAATTCTGCACATGTTGGAACTCGGCTGACTGCCATCCTGGCACCAGTAACGACTGTTGATCTGGAAGATACCAAAGTCAGTGCTGCCGTCATAGTCATTGTAGTGCGTGGCAGAAGTATTATAGCTGCTCTCGTGGCAGGCCGTGCAGACCCCTGAGACAGATACATGATCAGGTCAGAGCTAAGTGCACACAGTCTGGGAAGCATGCCCCATTCTTCACCTCCTCCCCGCAGGTGTTTCAAAACCCTGCCTTATCAGGAGCTGTTCAGAGAGTCAGTGATCCGGACGTGGAGGGGGGCAGGGGAGCTGCCCAGCAAGGAGTCACAGGGCACTGCTGCCCCACCCTTCTCCGCCTGTTCCAGGACAGTTGAGGAGCCTGGCCTCCTCCTCACAAACAGGAACGGCAATAGCTACCTCATGCTACCAGATGGGCAATGCATGTCTGGATCTGGGATTCTGCTGAGCTGCATCCCCACCTCTGCCCCTGGGATCATGCTCGGTTTGGAGCAGGTCTGTGTGTGAAGCCACTCAGGGTGTTTTGGTTTTTCCACAGCTGCAGCTGCCTTGAGGGAGATATCTTTTGGGAGGACGGTCTCCAGAGAGTATCCACTAATTCTCCTTTAACAATAGCCGGATGCAAAAGAAGACAGAACCCCTGCACCTTTCCATACTTGCCTAAAAAGGGGGGCAGGATTTCATAAAATGCAGCTTGTTGTGTCAGCTACCTGCCCCACACCTGACGCAGCAGCTGGCGGGGGGGGGGGAGACACAGAAAACAAACCAGAATGGAAATCATGCTGTTAGAGTTCAGACTACTACAGTAGTCATTTCAATTTTGTTCCACCTCTGAACAATTCCATCTCCAAGAAATGCCCCCGGCTTCATCCCATCCACCTCTACTCTGCATCCTTCCACTTCTCCCTAGATGGATGCACAAACCATCCTCTTCACCCCAGTTCACTCATTCACACCATCATTTAAACCCTACTCCTGCAACCCTGTAGCACAGGGGTCCTCAAACTATGGCCAGCAGGCCAGATCTGGCCTGCCAAGGTCCTGAACCTGGCCCGCCTGCAAGGCCTGAGGCTCGGAAACGGCTGGGCAGGAAGAGCCCTGAGGTAAAACACGTGAATGTAACAAAGGCCTGGTAATGCGGTTGGTACTGCCAGACCAGCTGCTTGATAACGGCGCACGGAGGGGGGGACGGCGGCAAAGGACCCCCTTCCCCTCCTCCCTTCCCCTCCTCCCTTCCCCTCCGGCCGGCTCCATGCTCGCCAGAGCAGCGCCTCACCGACCGGTTGTGCACACAATTCCCATGCGGCAACCTGGGCAACCTTAAAAGTTAGGGAAGCACCAAAAACACAGGCAACATATGCAATAGAATTAGCAAGAAGAGACGTCTGAATCACAACAGTTTATTGTACAAGGGAATCTCCATGTAAATAGTGGAGGGTTAATCTTTAAAAGAAAGCTCTCCACCCAAACTTCCCCAAGTTTGAAAATAAACTTCAATGCAGAGAAAGTCACATGCATGAGGAACAACAACATCAAAAGAAGAAATGAAGTATAAAGGTGAGGCATAGGTAATTTACGGGGACGCAGGTGGCGCTGTGGGTAAAACCACAGTGCCTAGGACTTGCCAATCACATGGTCGGCGGTTTGAATCCCCGCGGCGGGGTGAGCTCCCATCTTTCGGTCCCAGCTCCTGCCCACCTAGCAGTTCGAAAGCACTCTTAAGTGCAAGTAGATAAATAGGTACCGCTTTATAGTGCGGAGGTAAACGGCGTTTCCATGTGCTGTGCTGGTGCTGGCTCGCCAGAGCAGCTTCATCACGCTGGCCACGTGACCCGGAAGTGTCTCCGGACAGCGCTGGCCCCCAGCCTCTTAAGTGAGATGGGCGCATAACCCTAGAGTCGGACACGACTGGCCCGTACGGGCAGGGGTACCTTTACCTTTACCTATATAGGTAAATTATATTATTACTGATACCGCCTGTTGTGTGTCTGTTCTGGCTATTATTTTGAAACAAGGGTTTTTTTAAAAAAACACAACAACAACATGAAAAAGAGCATGTTTCTGGCACCTCTTTAGTCCGGCCCCCAACAGTGTCTGAGGGACAGTGAACTGGCCCCCTGTTTAAAAGGTTTGAGGACCCCTGCTATAGCAGGATGCAGCAGAGCATGTTACAGATTAGCTATAGAAATGTGGAGGGAGGCCACCTTCCCCTCATAATGACAGCCAGACACATGGTCAGGGAGACCCAGAAGATCAAATACTCACCCCAAATGGAGTGTGTGTGTGTGTGTGTGTGTGTGTGCGCGCGCACACACACACACACACACACACACACACACCGCATGCCCCACTCTCAGATAAATTCTGTCTTTTCCTCATGCCTGCCTAGTCAAGACCCAGATGTCCCCCAGTGGACTCACAGTTGGCCAGGCTGTAGCCAGCGTAACCATCTAAGCCCAGCTGCTGGAGCCTCTGAGCCAGAGCACAGCGCCCAAGGACCAGGCCTTCTCCTGTGGCAAGGAGACCAGTGAGCAAGGGCAGCAGCCAAAGAGCCTTCATCATCGCACTTCAGGAGGGCAAGGAGCAAGGTGAGGGTGTCACGCCTACTTTTATAGAGGCTCTTTGGCACTCCTCTGGAAAGCAGCCAAGTCGGTAGGACTTCAAGAGACCTTTGAGGACGTTGGCCCTGACCTTGCTTAGCTAATCAGCATGTGTGCGTCAACAAGAAGCAGCAGGCGTGACTCCCTGGGTCCCCCTCCCTGTGGCAGAGGGCTGAGAGCTGTACCTCCAGCTTCCAAGTTGTATTACTAGATTGTAATTAATTCATTTTTTAAAAAAAAAGTATTGCCATACTATAGTTGATAAATTCACAATATAATCAATTTTATTCCTGTATTAGAATTTTAATTTTAATGCACAAATAAGGCAGTTTATGGGAACTTTCTATGGGTGGTATTCAACCAAGTCTTACTCAGTATAGACCCACTGAAATTAATGGACCTCATTTTGTCATGTTCATTAATTTCAACGGGCTATATTCAATGAAATCGTTGCACTAGCACAGGGGTATGGAAACCTTTTGACTCCGTGGGTCAGATCCTGACCAGAATCAGCCTTGTGAGCCAATGTTGACAAATGGGTGGGGCCTCTCACCTGACAATCACATGGCCGCCTCCTCCTCCTATTCCTATAGTGATTGGTTACCTCTCTATGAGCCTGCAGAGTTATTCTTGACAACTTTCATGACCTAGTCAAAAGACTTTCCTAGGATTGCCTCCTGACTTTTATCTTCCCACCTTCTGAACCCAGAGCAAACAGTGAGGTGGTTTGATTCTTGCTTCTTATTCTGTGTCCAGTGGAAAATCTGTCACCTGGCTGTTTGCAAAGGAGTCACCTGGCTCCAGCAGCACAGACTGTTCCTTCACCGCTGGGAAGGGTGCCAAGCGGCTTCATACTTGCACATTAGTTCTCCATAAACAGAAAGCAGCCCAATATTATGTGGCATGACCCTGCCTTTAAAGCATCTTCAGAGCACATCTTTTCCTTCAAAGAATGCTGGGCATGGTAGTTTGACAGGAATTGTAACTCCCTGAGGGGTAAACTGCAGTGCCCAGAATTCTTTGAGGGAAGCATCCTCATGGATGCAGAACATTATATGGCAGGTGTGAAAGTGCAACTTCTGCAGACTGAAATGGCCAGCTATGGTGCAAAGAAACTGGCTTCAATAAGGGATTTTCATACAAATGTTAAAACCTTGAACTTGGTAGCAGATTGGCAGCCAGTGCAAATCTTTACTTAGAGGTGTAACATGCAGGCAGGATCTCATGCCTGAAACAAGTTAAGCAGCAGCTTTCTGTAGTAAATGGATTTTCCAGACCAAGTACAAGGGAAGCCCTGCCTAGACATGGACCATTAGGTAGAAGACTGCCTGCACTTTTGCTTTTTGTCTACAGAGAAAAAGTACTGGCCGAATGATTTTTGGGGTGGGAGAGGGTGTGTAAAATGAAAGCTAGAAAGAGAAGGAGTGCGGAATCAGAAGAATCTTTATTTGCATCAGCCACTAGCCACAGCGATAAAATAAAATACAGTGTACTGAAGATAGAGGTAAAAAGGTAACTGTACAAAATACGTTCTAGAGGCTTACAGCTCTAATCAAATAATAGCTCTTACTCTAATTGCCCCTGCTAAAAACCTTGCAGTTTTTGCTGTCACCTGCTCATCTTGATCTGCCAAGAGAAAGGAGACTGTGGCAGTGGCTGGGCAACCTGGCATGGACAATAATAGAGGGGTCATAACCTCGCTCCTCAAATCATTATAAAGAGTGCAAGCCAGAAGCACATGAGCCACTGACTCAATACTGCCATCTCCACATGGACATGACTGTTTTTCCAGCAGGATTTTTTTAAACTGACCCTCAAGTACAGCTGAAGATGAAAGTGCAAAAGTGCAAAAGTGAAAGCGCATCTGTATTTTGGAATTGTTACATTTTGCAAATAGGGTGCCAAAGTGTCAAAATGACTAGGTGGAAAATAATCATACCATGGACAAAATTTCCTTATTGTGACCAAAGTGTTCTGTCACTCAGTATCATATAGGCACTGTCTAATTAAATTATTTGCTTTACAGAAGCCCAGTGTTAATAACTGTTGTGGTAATAAACCAGAAAAGTAAAACTTTTAGTTGACAATTTTAGTCCAAGTGCTCTCATGCGATACTAAAGGTAATAGACCAGTGGGGTTTAAATTTAGGTGAAGCCAATACAGTGGTACCTCGCAAGACGAATGCCTCGCAAGACGAAAAACTCGCAAAACGAAAGGGTTTTTGGTTTTTTGAGTTGCTTCGCAAGACGATTTTCCCTATGGGCTTGCTTCGCAAGACGGAAACGTCTTGCAAGTTTGTTTCCTTTTTCTTAAAACCGTTAATACAGTTGCGACTTGACTTTGAGGAGCAACTCATAGCACGCGGTGTGGTAGCCTTTTTTGAGGTTTTTGAAGACTTTGGTGATTTTTGAAGCTTTTCCAAAACTTTTCCGACACCGTGCTTCGCAAGACGAAAAAACCGCAAGACGAAAAAACTCGCGGAACGAATTAATTTCGTCTTGCGAGGCACCACTGTAATGAAATGCCCTACACCAAATCTGTAATTCAACAGAGGGAAAATTAGCCTGAAGCACTTGGAACACAGGATGGAGCAGAAAAAAACTGCCTTAGGAACTTAGATTGAACAGCTTCTGTAGATCCAAGGTGAGTGCCTGTCCAAATCTGAGCCCCACATAGTAACCGTGCTGGAGGTTTAGCTTTAAACACTTCAAGCGCTGATGGTATGTGATTGCCACCCTTTGTATGGAAAAAGCATGTCAGAATTTTGGAACTTTGAGATGCTTTTTCCTTTGCATATTTCTGAGGTGCTCCCCATGACCCTGTTGACTGAAAAATAAGGCCAAGGTGTTTAAAGACTTTAACTTGTTTGATCAACTGATTCTCCATATACCATCTATGGGCCCTATAGTTCTTGAAAACACCATGACTTTAGATTTCTTGTAATTCATAGCCAGCTGTCCTGAGAATGCCCAGGAGGAGTCTGGAACATTCCACCTACAGGCTACAGCCTTACATATCTTGTATTTTACTGTTGGGTTGAATATATTATTTAGATTGTAATCTTTTTTCTTTTTTTTTTTAAATGATATTTATTAAAATTTCAGAAAAAAGAGTTACATAAAAACAAGAAAAGCAAAAACAAAAAACAGAAGTAAAAATACTCGGAATTAAACACTATAAATTGAGAGCATTTGCAGATGACTTAGTATTGACGTTACAGGAGCCAGAATCTAGTACAAAAAGGGTTTTAGAACTGATTCAAGAATTTGGTCAAGTGGCAGGATTTAAATTGAACAAGTCAAAAACCAAGGTTTTAGAGAAAATTTAACACCATTTGAAAGAGAGAGGTTTCAGAATGAGACAGGTTTAACAGTGGTTAAGAAAGTTAAATACTTGGGGATTAACATGACAGCAAAAATGGGAATTTATTTAAAGATAACTATGAAAAATGTTGGTCAGAAGTGAAAAAGATTTAGAAATTTGGTCAAATTTGAAGCTTTCACTGCTAGGCCGTATTGCTGCGATAAAGATGAATGTATTGCCCAGAATGTTGTTTTTGTTTCAAACTTTGCAGATCGTAGACAAAATGGATTGTTTCAAGAGGTGGCAGAAAGATATTTCTAAATTTGTCTGGCAGGGCAAGAAACCCAGAATAAAATTTAAAATATTAACGGATGCAAAGGAAAGAGGTGGATTTGCCCTGCCAGACCTTAAACTGTACTATGAATCAGCAGCCTTTTGCTGGTTGAAAGAATGGCTACTTCTTGAAAACACTGACATTTTGGATCTAGAAGGTTTTAATAATGTATTTGGATGGCATGCATATTTATGGTATGATAAGGTCAAAGCACATAAAGCATTTAAAAACCACATTGTCAGGAAAGCGCTGTTTAATGTTTGGATAAGATATAAGGATTTGTTAGAAAATAAAACCCCAAGGTGGCTGTCACCAATGGAAGCGAAAGCCTTGAAAAAGGTCAATATGGAGGTCAAATGGCCGAAATATTGGGAAATTTTGGAACAAGACGGAGATAGACTGAAATTGCAGAGTTTTGAAAAACTAAAAAACAAAGTGCGAGACTGGCTTCATTATTATCAAATAGTGGAGGTATTTAAACTGGACAGGAAAATTGGCTTCCAGGTGGAAAGATCCAAATTAGAAACAGAATTGTTAGAACCCAATACTAAGAATTTGTCAAGAATGTATAACTTGCTGCTGAAATGGAATACTCAAGATGAAACGGTAAAATCGGCTATGATTAAATGGGCACAGGACGTTGGTCATAACATTATGTTTGCTGACTGGGAACAGTTATGGACCACAGGTATGAAATTTACGGCATGTAATGCCTTAAGAGAGAATATTATGAAAATGATATACAGGTGGTACATAACCCCAGTCAAGCTTGCGAAAATCTATCACTTGCCTGATAACAAATGTTGGAAATGTAAAGAAATTGAAGGTACATTTTTTCACCTTTGGTGGACGTGCCCAAAGATTAAGGCTTTCTGGGAAATGATATATAATGAATTAAAAAAGGTATTTAAGTATACCTTCTTGAAGAAACCAGAGGCCTTTCTCCTGGGCATAGTCGGCCAATCGGTGTTAAAAAAGGATAGAACTTTCTTTATGTATGCAACAACAGCAGCAAGAATACTCATCGCAAAGTATTGGAAGACACAAGAACTTCCCACGCTGGAGGAATGGCAGATGAAACTTATGGACTATATGGAATTGGCGGAAATGACTGGCAGAATCCGTGACCAGGGAGAAGAGTCGATGGAGGAAGACTGGAAGAAATTCAAAGACTATCTTCAGAAACACTGCAAAATTAAGGAATGTTAGAGTGATGTTGGACTGAAAATAAGTGGTTTCCAGCTGCATAGGTTAAAGTTAAGGATAGATTAAGATTAAAGATTAAGATTAAAGAAGTTTAAAGAAATGGAAATTTGATTTTAAAAGGGAAAACTTTAAAGT